TCTTTGAAGACTTAGCTATTGTTTCAAAATTAACATATATATTTCTGAATCAAAATTTTAGAACAACGATCGAGAAATTACTTGCAGCAAAATTAAGGGAACTGTCAAAAGATCTACTGGAGACGCAAAGAGCCGTGGTATCGTCTGCCTACAGTTACATAAGGCTCGCAATGCACCTTGATAAAACCTTTGAAATGTTGAAGGTGCTCGACCAAAATTTCCGTGGCGATAACGTCTCTAACCAGGTAGCCAAAAGCGTTGTCGGGGAGATAGTCGAAGGGGAAGTGTGTCCGGACAATTTTATGGGAACTAAACTTGATTACGGTCATCCGTTCTTTCGCAAAGGATTCGACCGTGTTCCGTGTAGTGATTTCATTCCAATTGAACGACTTGTGACCGTCTTAATTACCATGCCTCAGGAGTTACCGAAGCCAGCACAAACATACCTCGAGGTTATGCAAGGCATCGCCACGTATTTTCCGGGAATTCGCGTTGTTCTTGCAACACAAAGGGAGTTGGCTCCTTCCGTGAAAGATGCTATCTCGAAATTAAATGTTACTTTCGAGAACGACATAATTCACGGTGGTAAACTCGGTGTGATATGGCAAAGGTTGATCGATAAGGTGTCCACCCGTTATGTTTTGCTGGCTCAGAATCTCACCCATTTTGATGATGATATTGGTCTGGAGAGAATGGTCAGGGTACTGAGCTACGAGCCATTGGTGGCGTTCGTCGGTGGAGCTCATCGTAATCTGACGGGACATTGGGATAACGGTTGTCAACAGGTGTCGTTTAGGAACATGACGGCCAAGTACATGGGTGGATACTACAGGTCTTTTAACGAATGCTTGGTGTGCGACTTCCTCTCGGGACCGATTATGACCAAAACAGAAACGATAAAAAAATTGAAGATTGATACGAGGTAAGGCAAAAGACTTTGTGACTGACACGAGCATAGCGTCGTAGCGATGATAATCGAGGTTAAATTGTTCTCATTTTTGCAATGAGAGTTTCTCTGTACTCAAATTTCTATTTTATTTCCATTCCTAAAGGTTATTTTTATAGTTTTCAAATATCGTAATTCATCGGCGACGGCTATTGCCGGTGCAAAAATAAAAGCATTGTCTAGTGTCATCGATAGAAATTATCGACTTCACTGGTCACCGGCAATGGATCGAATTTTACAATCTAGGAAATGTAAAACAATCATTTGCTAACTTTTATAAAAATTGAACGAGAGACAAGTCGAAAACTCAGTTTTTTGCTTCAATCTTTGGCTTCAACCAATCATTACGCAGAACTGTAGGAGTTAGCGTTCCAGATTTCAGTACAGTCCACCGCGTTGTCCCCTCATAATTTTTTATTCCCGATGTTTCCAGTATGGGAAAAGGTGTTTTCCGTGATCTTTTTTGGCGCCTGAAAAAGGAAATGCCGGAGAAGGTCACGGCAGCTTGTCCAGACGTTATGTTCAATACAGATCCGGGCGAGGTGGAGGATGTGGAACTCGTCGAATTTGCAGATAAGCACATGATCCATAGGATCGTTGAGGCAAGTGGTCAAGTACGCTGGTATGGATGTCGATACGGTCTACCCTATACGAAGCCAAAGCTGTGCAAGAGGGACAAAGGCCTTGGACTTTCTCCAGCTGATATGGAGAACCTGGCGGATGTGATCAAGTTCTTTCTAGCTGCGTGTGAAGACGCTGGTGCGTTCTGTGAACTGTACGCTGGAACATTGATAGGTCAGTATTGAAGTATCTTTAAAGTTGCTTATTATATATTAGTTGTCTTTGATGTTGATGTCTTTGATACCAGTTTCGTAGTTCGCAATCAGTGACCCCCTCCCCCCCTCCTGCAAGTTTGAGAAGTGCGGTCAGTGCGTGGACTGGACACACATACTTCATCGGTACCAAGACACTAAAGTTACCATTCCCAACAGGTGCAGTCAAATTTAACGGCATTCTTCCTTGGGACATCGATGGGGACACCGCCTTTGTATCCGCGAACTTCACAGTCATCAAAAATCTTGAGGAAAAAATTAAAATTGCTGGTTACAGTCTTTCGGTTGGGTACGGTACCAAGGTTGAAGATGGACGGATATCGCGAGGTTACTTTGCTCTGGGAACCACGAACTGGAAGGTGGACGTCTGGGGCTACCCAGACCGCTCGAGTCAGATTGATGTTGCAAATGGAAAGGTTCGAACGAAGGTCCTTCTCGCCGGTCAGTGGGTGAACGTTCCACACAATCCCGGAATGGTTGTGAGGAATCGGTACGGAGCCGAACCTTACAAGCATCAAGAACACTGGCGTCGTCATGGACGCGAAACTTCGTGGAAATTTTACGACCCAGGATGGTTCTTGAAATGTCCCGAACCCGGGCATTCTTCTTGTCTTGAGCAATACCCAGCGGACGGTAATATGCAGTTTAGAGACTACTGCCTGAACTGAATTGGACTCCATTGTAGATTCCCTGTTTTTGCGCCGCCTGGACCTTCGGCTTCAACTCGTACGGCGCACGTTTTGGGACCCTGTAAGACAGTGCCTACTGGGAAATGTTGCGAGGTTGATGCTATTTTTCGTTACATGTTTTTGTAATTAGTTAGTTCTATAGGTTTTTTTATGTGATCACGGGAAGCTCAATGGCATTGATTGGGTAATGAAATGCACTCTGGTAGGATATTTTGGAAGTTAAACTGAGAGACTTTCATGTTAATACAAACTTTATTTGAATCGAGCCTTCGAAAATCACTTCATCGTCGTTTTCATGAACATATTTATATATATTCATTAAAGGGTTTGAAATTTGGAAATTTAATAACATGTTTGTACTATATTATTTTCCGCCCTTTTATTGATTAATCTAAAGGCCAGTTTCAGACCACAAACTTTACTTTTTCATGTGCCGAACCGAATGAAAATCAACTAAAAGACTTCAGAACATTATAACTTTATAGCTTCAGCTTTCGGCACATGAAAATTTGACTTTTGAAACGGGCTAATTAGAACTATGGTCTAACAAATCTGGCCTGATTATAAATCAAAGAGCTTTAGTGATTTCATTTTAAACGGCTGTGTAGATTGATTTGTGTAAACATATTCAATATGTGTTCGGTTAATCTCAATTTTTTTTGTCCTCGGATATTAAAATTTGAAATGGCTTTCATTGTTGAATGGATACTCCATCAAAAATACGAAAACATCTGTTCAAAATAAACAGACAATGGTAAATAGTTAATTAAAACTGTAATAACAAGTATTTAAATACCGTGTCGAATACACTGTCACTGGAACTGATCTTGTGGTGGTTCAGCGAAAAGTATCGAATAGGAGAAATAGGTTTTCACTCTGGTAACATAGTTATGGGGAAAACTGAAACATTTTTGAAATATTTCGCTTTTTTTATTACCTCGTTGACAGTGATTTTAGGGATGCAAGCCCAGCTTTCTCTGTTCTCAAGGAAAGGTATCGATACTGTAGTATATTATTATTATACATCTTTGTCTTTGATATCTGGTGCGTATGATCTCACTGCGTATACGTGATATTATCAAATCATATAGTTCTTATGAACAAGCTAGGGTATATAGTAGGGGAACTCTCCATCTTCTTAAACGGGTTTAAGAGTTCGACGTTAATTCACCAGATTTCGATTTTTTTTTTTGAATAATTTTTCAGGTCAAATATATAGTTCACAAACCATGTAAATAATTGTATAGGCTTTCGGCTGGAAGGAAGAACAATCAAGTCGTTTCACGTCTCGTCTTTGACAGAATGTGGTCAATGGTGCTTGAGGGACTCTGGTTGTTTATCGATGAACTATGGGTTAGCGAACAGCGATTCGCAAATGAGCATTTGCGAGCTGAATAACTCTACAAGAGGAGGTCTGAAACACGATACAAATTTTGCGTACTACGAGGCCATCGAACGGGTACGAACGTTATGTATTATTTCAGGTATTAATATAAGGGAAAACTAGCTGTCGCCATCGCCAAACGCGCATGGGATGGTGGGAATAACCATGCATGCAGTATACTATAAGATTAGCTGGATTCTAGGCAGACATATACCAAATGATCAATAAAAGAACTGTAAAAATACCCTAGAACTTCTGACAGATCCACACACGCATCCAATTAAAAAACTTGCCTTCAACTTTATTTTAGAAACCCAAGGAACCCGTGAAATCAAAAAGTATTTCGAAGAATGCGACAAGCTGCTCCTACTACATGGCCCATGGTGCACCGGGGGTTTACACGATATACAACACCGCAGGAAACAAGACGTACAACGTTCACTGCCATTTCGACCAGAAAAATCAAAAGAGTTGGACGATGGTTACGTCATTCGCGTTTTCAAACAATCAACACTTGTCGAGCAGTCCATTTTGGGTGGACAAACCGTACAACGAGGAGGCACCAAACTTTAAACTCTATCGTATGTCCTTGAAAAGGATGATGAAGGTACGAAAACTAGCTACTGAGTGGAGATCAATTTGCGCATACAACGGAAAGATGTCTGACCGGTTGGACTCAGTCAGAGGGGAGTTTAAAAACCTCGATCCATTGAAGAACGTTACGATAGGCAGTTGTAAGCGAGTCAAGTACGTTAACATCAGGGGAACTACGTGCGTTGATTGTACTGCTAAAGTTTTTCAAACGGAGACACAGTTTTTTCATATTGACAGCGACAAGACATGCACGCTTCCATTTCCTCCTGATGCTTCGACAATCAGCGAGGATAACTTTGGTTACTACCGAAATGTCAACCCAAACTTTACGTGCACCAGTGACGGAGAATCTACGACAAGCTGGTGGTTTGGGAATTAAGTAATACAAGTCTCACGGATAGCATAGCCGTACCTACGGGGAGTGGGAGGGTGTTTTTTATTCATATACTCATGCTCGCACAGAGAACTCTAATATACTTTCTTGTTTTATTTCTGTCTCAAACATGTTGACGTGCATGCGGCTGTTTCCGCTTCCTTATAGTGGTAGACTCTGTCTTTTTTCATTTTTATTATGATTCGTCTTTTCTAACTCTACATGACAGGTAAAGGCTGGCATTTTATGAAATTAAAATAACTTTAAATAAGTATAATAATAATAAAGTTTATTGGTCGGGGACTCACAGGCTTAGAATGATACGACAATCAGTCTATAGCAAGTATAAAACATGCAAAAAAAGGCTCGTCTTATGTAATTGATTACTGTAATTCAATTGTTAGTTATCTAATCTGCTCTGTGTACATACCACGAAAAGAATTGTTGTTGAATCATCAATGTGGTTATGATTCGTCACCGTTAACTTTGCATTCGCTTCCAAGCCGCAGTAATGATATTCATTGAAGTAACCGCGTGTCATTCCGGGGGAGACTAAGCCGTAAACTTGTGCTGCGTGCCGTCAGCCAATAGCAACACGACTGATTTCTGGCTCACCCAGACTAACTTGGTTTGCTTCAGATTCACTGGAGTGATTTTCACCTCACGTGAAACATTCGAGGAACGAGTGCATTTGATCCCGGAGCCCAGGACACCGAACAGCGAGGAACTCGTCTGCGGATGGAAAAACAAGGGAATAGGCTGGATAAAAGGGGTTTGTTTGAATTAACCGAAAGATGGAGAAGGGGATGAAAGGGGGTGGTGAAAGGATAAGGGTAAAGAGGGGCTAAAGAGTAAAAAAGGGCCAAAGGGTCAAAAAGGCGCCAAGGGTTAAAACGGGGCTAAGGGGTGAATGAAGAGAGTGAAGAGGGTGAAAGGGGATGAAGGAGGTGAAGGGGGTAAACGGAGGTAAGGGGTTTAAATTATAAAGCTGAAAATACTCACCTGCCAAAAGTTAATTTTTGCTTCCTCGTAAGAATAGGTGGCGAGTAATTTGCTGTCTTTTGAAAATCTAACAGCGGTGATTGCAGATGAATGTGCTGGAATGATCTGTGAAGGACATAAACGTCTCTATGAGACCTTTTTATGCGGTCGTAACAGATAAACTTAACATGCATGCTAAGTGTATCATGATAAGTTAATTTTTAATTCAGGTACACAGCGTATGCAGTACCTGTTCCTTGGACGAGCGAAGTTCATAAATTGTGAGTTGACCTGATTTCGAACCGACTGCAAGACGACGTGTATTGGGACAATAACTGACCATGTGAAATCTAAAAGTAAATACATCCAGTGAAACGTAAGTCGGTTGCCTTGGACACTTCAACAGACCGTCTTAAACAAGCATATCTTCAACACCCGTAAAACAATTAAATTCAGTCAAATTCTAATCTTGTATCAATTTGATTTAACAGTCAACAAACCATATACGCACTTGAAAAGGGCAGAGAAAATTTCTTCTAAGCTTCGTTCTTTTAGTTGTTTTGGCTCAATGCAGTGGACAATGATCTGTACTACCTAAAATTATTTAAAAAAGGTCATGCTTCATTCGCTTTACATGGTTTATAAGTAAATTAGCTTGTACATAGGTACACCATGTAAGTATATTTATTACTGCAAAGCTTTCGGTCCGTTAACCCGGGCCTTCATCAGTGAAAATACTTCAAAAACTCATTTACCGAAAGCTTTGCAGTAATTAAATACTTATGTGGTGTACCTACAAGCTAATTTGCTTGGTAAATGGTCTTTATTACACATATTAATAGCAGTTACGCTAAATTATTGATGTGTTTATACTTTTTAAGAATTATGTTTGCATGTCACCATACAAACTTACAAGAATATTCCTCTCGCTTTATGTTGAATATGATATTACCTCTGGTAACAGTTTAATGACTTCTTGCTGTGTTTTGTCAATCATCAATTCAAGAACTCGCAGAATTTCTTTCTTGGAGCGATGCAGGGTTGACGAGTGTTGAACGTCCGCGGACGAGGGCTGATGACGAACATGACTGTAGACCGCTATGGCTGCTGGGGAGGCTTGATTGAAAGAGAGCGAGGCTTGGGCCGAGGAACTGCGCGCCACCTGAAAATGTAATTGTGGTGTCAGTTTGTCAACCTTGAAGGTCTCTCATAACTTTTAACAAGCATGGAACAGTTTGAGACAAGTTTGTTAAGTCATTCATTTTGTATAGAAAGTTTCAAATAAGTATTTGAGTTGGGGAAAAGCAGATCAATCAATATTTTTTAACAGAAGTATACACGGTGGCAGTATTTGAAAGAGGAGTTTTAAGATTCTGCGAGACTTGAGCGAGAAACGTTACTACAAACCTCTTTTGCTAATGTTGTTATGAAGACTAGCGGACGGGCAGTGGAGATCAAGGTGAGTGCATGTCGCGCTGATCTTTGTGAGTCCGCAGCACTGGAGAGAGGCAATCCTTTGGAGAACGAAGCCACGTGACCCCTGTTGTCAGGACAGAGTTCCAGCAGGGCCATAAGTACCGCTGACACGTCCATATAAGGCTCCCACAAGGGGAAACCACGGCCTATCAGGTCGATGGCGGCCCGTCGCATCGATGTATAGGATAATGTGCGGGAGGATTGACTTTGGGATTTCAGCAAAATAAACATGAGCGCTCGACTGGTGAGGTAGACGACCCGAGAGGGAAGCAACATTTCACCTGAGTTGAAATGAAAACAGAGGCTAATTTATTTCTTTTTGAATCGGAACTGTGCGGGAACTAGAATATGACATATAGTTTTGCACTCTCCTAGACGAAGACAAGTATTGTAAAAAAGTTCGCCAGTACAACACATTACCTTGAAACCCGACTTTCTTCTGCGAATCGTTCGACGATTTCTCTCCCTTGTTATTGGTCCCCGACAGCGCCCCAAGATCTTTCTGGAACTCGGAACCAATCACGGCCAACATTATGATCGAGGTTGCCTGGCGACGGCTGGCGTCATATTGGAAGAGCTTTTTCGCGCCATCGAGAACGTTGAGTACATCTTCGGAAAAATCATCTTCGCCCACGGACACATCACTGGAATCTGAGTTTTCTAGGGAAATTGAAGAGTCGTTCTAGCGACAAAGTTGCAAAGCTATTGCCACAGCCTAGTGAAAAAAGTTGGGGGTAACTTAAGGTCCATTTTAAGCTAGAAAGACTTTATTATGATGGGAGATTGGTTAAAGTGTACAAAAGCTGAACCAAGATAACCATTTTATAGCTGTACTGTTTCAAAAGGCGAAAACGATAACTGAGATGATTCTCATTTCGTTATCCCAACAAACATCAAATTTTCTTCCATCAAGTGTATGCCATTATGGTTGAAGAACATAATCTATACTTTTTTCTTATTCATGAAATGGCGGAATCTAATATAAGCAAGGAGTCAAGCACGAATCTGGCAAAGATAATTTTAGATTCAATTCTTTCCGTCTCTTGCGTCGCAATGTACTAACTAATATATCGACACACATACCAAAATCGGAATCGGTGGATTCCAGTAGAACGCTAGAGCCCTCAATTTCCTGGGGCAAATATTGTACCCAGGTTTCCACCACTTTAGCTCGGCCTTCCATATTTATTCGCCTCAACTCGGTCACGAGAATAGCTTGGGCCGCTTCACGAATCTTCACATGAAACACAGGATAATTTGAGTATAGAATAATCATTAAACCCACCTCTTGTAACAGAAACTTTCACTACTAAATTTTCAGTGCCTGCAGGGAACTCACCTCCAGACAGCGGTCTTGCCATCTCCTTGCTAATACGTGAAGTAATGGCGGCCTATATTGAGCCATGTCCAATTTATCGGGTAGAAGACAGCAGTACAATGTTGCCAGTCGACTCCAGCCCGCTTTGATGTTTGCGCGGATCATAGAACTGATTGCGAGGTTCGCTTCCTCATCGCGTGACGGCGACTCAACTTCGGAACCCTTCGTGGCGTCCTCGCTCCGCCGAGGAGGAGGAATAGAAGGTTTCTCGTGACGAGGCAGAAAGCTGACTTGGGACATGCTCATGAGGGTGTTTGTAAGAGCAACGATACTTAGCGAATGTTGCGTTGTCAGCGCAGAACAAAATTCCCAACGAGATTCGAAGAACTTCTTGTGACCAGTTTCCTTAGAAGAACCATCGGTCGGATCAGAGTTCGAATACCATCCGGGAACGATCAGGCTAAGCTTCCGGTGGGTTAAAAGACCGAAAGAAATGGGTTTGATCGGTTTGAGAAGCCCGAGTCTGTTCGTACAGGTTTCGTCGATCTCAGGATCCAGTCCCCAAGAGTGTAAACACGAGACGAGCAGCTGAGCACCATCGTGAATCTCCTCCAGGAACTTTAGATTTGGACTGACTTGATTTGCCGAGGTGAACGAAACATGTTTTGAATGGTCTTTGTTTGCTTTTCGTGTGTTCAAGCCAACTAACATGAAAAAAGGTTACGAAGTTTAGCTTTTGGACGGTTTTTCTTATCAGGAGAAGTCAAAACTTAGCCAAGGGGTTGAAATTTTTAACAATCAAAATTCTCACAAAGTGTGAAATATTACACTCAGTGTGAGAAAAATCATCGCTTTCCTCTTCACAAGAATCTCTCTCTACATTGTACCAGAGTAGTTGGTGATCATTTAAGGCATGTTTACACTTCTAAATTCAATGTGATTTTGGACGAGATTTTATTCTTTGACAGATGTGAACGAGATCAAAAGTTACGGGTGTTGAAATAAGGGCACTGATATATCAAAACATTCATAACTAATTGCTCGTTTGCATCTTTCAAAAGAAGAAATAGCAGCAAAACCTGCAAGTGTAAACGGACTTTGAACTGACTATGGTTAAACCTTTCAAGGATACATAAGTTAAGGCATGTTTTGAAGATTAAAGGGCAGAACTCAAGCAGTAATACAACACCTCCGCCACTATAAAACAGTTCAACCAAGCTTGGCTACTCACGTTTTTGCGTTTTCACTTCCTCCACGAGAAGATGGCAGATCAACGCCTCCATATCAAACAGCATGACGTGAATCTCCGGTTCATCCGCCCCCGTCTTCAAAGATGTCACACGTACTGGGACACTTTTACTCATCTCCTGGTAACTATCGACTACAAGGAAAGTAATGAGCAATTAGTGAAAGAGGGGGAGGGGGTGGCTCAGTTTTTAGCATAGCTTAGTATAGTCCTTCCCATCGTACCTGGGGATCGCGTAGGCGCGCGTTTCCTTTTGCTCCTGGGACTGGACACGCGAGTTCTCTTGACTTTCCTCAACGACATTTGTGACGGCATTTTAGGGATATTTGTCGCAATATGCGACAATTTTTTCGTGAACACTGTCCTCGGTCTTAAACTCCCATCCGTGCTTAACTTTCCCGACTCTTCGTCGCAGGCATTGAGGATTTCCACGGCAGCATCGCCAGTAACATACCGGTCTAGGGTTCCTGAAAGATAAAACGAGAGGAAACACATATACCATTATACCATGAATCATGATGTGGCTTGAAATGGGTAGTGTCGCAGCTCCTCGCAAGAATGACTTTCATTGGCTGAACTTTACAATACATTTCTGTTTCAACCAATAGTATAGCTTCGTTCATTAGAAAGCATAGAAAAGCATTATCCAATTGGACGAAAGTTTCCGAGAGCTGCGACATGTTCCCTTGAAATGAGTTAGTGCTTACTCGTTTCATCAGTTGTTGAAAATAGTTTAGTGCAAGTTCATTATAGTATAAATACGGGATCTCAAGCATTTTGACGAGTTGACAGATCAGTAAATCTGAGGCATTATTTATTAACTGGACTATAACTGAATGCAATGGAGTTATACAATAACAATTACTAGCCTTAGACTCGGTGATGATGGTGGAATTCGTTTTACAAAATAGAATTTTACAACAGAACAAAAAATGACCAAAAATTCCTAAATCACCGAGCCCGAATCACCTCGCAAAAACTAAGCAGTCGTAGTGCAGGTTTCCCACTGTTCAGGAGCAAAATGCTCCATAACTTCATAAAGTCTACTCTACACAGAACTTTAGCTCACCAGTTTCAATTTGCCATACGTATACGCTTCCATCAGACAGGCCAATAATCAGAAAATCCTCGGCAGGTTTCCACCTCACAGTTTGCACGGGGAACCTGTGGCATGACGCAAGCAAAAGGCATCGATGATCACGCAAGTTTAGCAATGCCACAGAATGATCTTGGGCTATCGAACACACACAGTGTTGAATGCGGACCTGGAAAAGAACGAAACATCTCAAGGGTCTTATCACATGATAGTGGCCTAACATTAAGATCGCACTGGGTAAGCCTGTTCTACACAACTGGGCGAAGACATCGTTGGTATTCGCTGGAGTTCGCTGAACTGTAAATAAACTGGAAGTATAACTAGTGGTTAACATGCCACTACTCGGCTGAGGCCAAAATGGTGTTTGGAGCTGAGATATTTAATCTGAAACTACTTACGCTGCTTTCTGGAGGTGTACACGTCAACCTGAGTATCTCTCCGCCATTGGCTGAAAATGACGCCAGCAGTGCACCGGAAGTAAGGCTCCATAACTTGACTGTGAAATCCGCTGACCCGGACACGAACTGCTCGGGGGCATATCGATCATACTCTCCGTATGGATACAGAAGGCATGTGACCTTACTTCGATGACCAATCAGCTTCTGGTATTTCGGCCATGCTAAATGGAAAATCCATAGAATAGGGCGGGAAAGGACTGCGACTTATTGTTAAATAAAAACCATTTCTCGGATGAAACAACTTAATATCTCTTGAAATATACTATATTTATGTTTCAAATTTACGTCAGGGCTATAGTTCTTATGCATAACGGAACATAATACCCCCTCCTCGTCTCCCTATTTGTCAGATGAACCTGGGAAACGTCAACCCAGTCACACTCACCAGCTGGGTCAGTATTGTTTTCCATCATGAACTGTGTTTTGGCGGCTTTGGTGGCGGAGATTATGATAATGGACCCATCTTGACGACCGCACGCGATTCTTCCTTGAGCCGCCAAAAACAAACTTGATGTGATCTTCACGGGTTTTCGTCTGCCGTCCTACAAACGTAAACAAATGTTAAAGAATGCAGATAAATTTCTGACAGAATCACCACCAACCCATGCTAGAATTCTCTAAGCTCAAGGCATAGAGAACACTAGAAAATGACTTAAACTACAAACCCTACCGTACCACTATGACCTATGCTAATCACAGTAAAGTTCAATCATGTTACAAAAACACTGTGATTATATTTTCAAGAACATACCAATGAATCGAGCAAACCACAAGGCTTGTTTGAGGATAGCCAGACGTCGATGAAACTACCCGTTTCACTGCAAGGAATTGCTAAAAAATAAAATTTAGGTTTTAGTGTTTTCACAGCCGTCATAAACAGCCGCCACTATAAAGTTGTAAAACGAATTTGTTCGTTATTTTGTGAAATTTTGACCATTTTGTGAATGATTAAATTTGTGATTAAATATGGTGCAGCGAACTTAATTATTTTACTCCAGTTAAACGGCTCAGTTGTTCTTTGAATGTACAAACTATCGATATATTCAATTAGCACTTTAAGCAGACTACGGGCACGGTCCAGAAGGCCAAATGCGTCTAATACTATATTGCGGTCCGTGATCAAAATAATGTACAATAGCATGCGCGCTGCAGACCGCAATAGGAATCTGGACACAAATTGGCTGTCACGGAGATACATGAAAAAACTGTTTGTATACGTCATTTTCAGCTAAACACAGAAGCAAAAATTGCTCATTATTGTCTAATTACGACGTACAGCAAATTGGATGATGTAACAAACATCTAATTAATGAAATACAATTAATTAGCAACGTAACAAAGCATGCGCGAGCGAGCCCAGTCATAATTGAATTGCTTTCAGACAGTGCGGAGTTACATTGTTACAGAGAGAATCTAAATTGAGTTTATCGTCGTTTATTAAGGAATTTTAAAAAGCAAAATGAGTGAGGAACGCGAAATATGTTCGCCTAACGATGGCGAAGATGCTCCGAGTAATTCCGAAGATAATTCGGAGATTTATTCCGAAATGAAGGAAATGTTGAAAAGGGATTGTCTCTTTCCGAGACCAAGCGATCATCTTGCGACCGTCTTGCGTTCGGGGGCACGTCGTCCTTTGTCGCCGATCGTGAAAGTACACTCGTTAGCATACCTGTTTCCCGCTATCGTCATTATTCGGGAAAAACTTGACGACATGCAAGCGATGAAGAAGACGATCGAGTTCATCGGTTTCATGGCAAAAAAGAAAAAGTTGTTCAGCGATCACCACCACTGGGACATGCGCACGAAGTTCTTGGATGTGCGTTTGAGAGGCATGGAAAAAATCGTCGAAGATCCACGCAGAGCAAGCCGCAAACCGAAGGGAGAGTTTCTTGTGCGAATTCCGATCAAAGCACTTCAAAAAGATGCGGCAAAAACAAAGAATGGTTGGAACAACGAATACCCGAACGTGTTCATCGGCTCCAGTGGTAAGTACAATCGGCCAATGAATGAACTCGTCAGCGCGGTTCGAAGCGAAGCGAAAATCCAACACTTGAAAGGAAAAGCTAATGGGGATGCGATTGCGCCCGAACGAGGAGACTTTGGATCAGCGAAAAATACAAGAATGACAACCGAGGGAAATCGAGAGGAAACTGACGCCGGAGATTCAAACAAACGTAGTTGCATCGAGGAAGCATCTGCGTGTAAAACGGACAGTTCACCTGCGTGTGAAATGGATGGTTTACCTGCGTGTAAAACGGACAGTTCGTCTGTGTGTAAAACGGACAGTTCACCTGCGTGTAAAACGGACAGTTCAACTGCGTGTGAAACGGACAGTTCACCTGCGTTGAAAACGGACAGCTCGCCTGCAGGTGAAACGGAAAGTTTACCTGCGTGTGAAACGGAGAAAAGATCGGCTACTGAAAATGGCGAGAGACCGAAAGTAACTCTTGAGATGCTACGAGAACAGTATCATCGGAAAAAACAAAGAAACACGGCAAACGTTGAAAGTACCGTGGACGAGAAACGTCGACGAAAGGGCTCTTCGAAAGGGCTCTCCGAAAAAACTCTTGAAGAGTTGCGAGAACAACATCGTCTTCAGAAAGAAAAGGACGCAAAGAACAGTGGATCGTTGGAACAAACTCTTGAACAGTTGCGACAACAACATCGTCTTCAGAAAGAAAAGGACGCAAAGAACAGTGGATCGTTGGAACAAACTCTTGAACAGTTGCGACAACAACATCGCCTTCAAAAAGAAAAGGACGCAAAGAGCAGTGGATCGTTGGAACAAACTCTTGAACAGTTGCGAGAACAACATCGTCTTCAGAAAGAAAAGGACGCAAAGAACAGTGGATCGTTGGAACAAACTCTTGAACAGTTGCGAGAACAACACCGTCTTCAGAAAGAAAAAGACGCAAAGAACAGTGGATCGTTGGAACAAACTCTTGAAGAGTTGCGAGAACAACATCGTCTTCAGAAAGGAAAGGACGCAAAGAACAGTGGATCGTTGGAACAAACTCTTGAACAGTTGCGACAACAACATCGTCTTCAGAAAGAAAAGGACGCAAAGAACAGTGGATCGTTGGAACAAACTCTTGAAGAGTTGCGAGTCCAACATCGTCTTCAGAAAGAAAAGGACGCAAAGAACAGTGGATCGTTGGAACAAACTCTTGAACAGTTGCGAGAACAACACCGTCTTCAGAAAGAAAAAGACGCAAAGAACAGTGGATCGTTGGAACAAACTCTTGAAGAGTTGCGAGAACAACATCGTCTTCAGAAAGGAAAGGACGCAAAGAACAGTGGATCGTTGGAACAAAATCTTGAACAGTTGCGACAACAACATCGCCTTCAGAAAGAAAAAGACGCAAAGAACAGTGGATCGTTGGAACAAACTCTGGAACAGTTGCGAGAACAATATTGGCTTCAGAAAGAAAAGGACCCAAGAAATGCACAGAATACCCAGGACGAAAAACTCAGACAAGAAAGTCTTCAAAGAGGATTGGACGGCCATCCATCACGCACGATGGATATGCCTTCGACAAGTACAGATTACGAACATTTTTCTCCGAGCTACGAAAGCTCACAGGATCTTATTGTGAACGGAAAATCGATCCAGCGAAGTTTTGCCGCCGAGTTGGACAGCAGAGCAGAAACGCCGACTTGTAAAGTTCAAGACGAGCTGGTGTTGGAAGACATCAATGATAACGATATCGTTGGGGGTTTGTTGATCGTCCGTACATCCTGCACATTGGAGATCTCTGAGGATGAAGAAAACGCGGGCATGCAGGCCACGGCGGGTGCAAACCTCCTGAAGAGCGAAGGTCGTGGAAAATTGATCCAACAGAATACGGTCGAGCAAGAAGGACAAGAAAGAACTCTGTCAAGATTGCAGAGATTCCGAAATAGGATGAGTTATCTGGTGTCGTGCTTCAGACGAAATCGAGTGATGCCCATTAACATTTGATGACTGACGTTGAAACATGATGGACGTTGATGCGTGTAAGTTCACACGTGCTGCATGAAATTCGCTACGAAGATGAAACATTATGGGACTAAAGTTAGGGCGAGAGTTGTAGCAAAGATCAAAATCAGGGCGAGAGTTACAGCAAAGCTGTAGCGAGGTTTGCGTCTGGAGAATTCGATTTACGGTTGTGTTGGACAATGGGATAGGTGTTGGAACGTTGGGGTTCGATTTTGGGGTATTTGTCTGTTGTTTGCGCATGAGAGTTTATAGATTAATATATATTCATGTAAATATTTAAAGATGATATTTTTGTACAGTATAATACGACTTAATTAAAATATTGAAAAAATACAACACCGCCTACTCGTGAAAATTAGAAACATATTACCAACCAAAAAACCTATAGATTCATTTCAGAATGAAGATGCCAAAAATTATTAAAACCTAATCCTCTTGGCGGTGGCGTCTTGCGTCTAAGATTTATCAGGATGTTTATCATCGGATTGAGATGTGATTTACCTCCGCAAATGGATTTGCCAACGATAAGTAATCACATATTTCAAGAGGGTCATGCATTGAAGTAACGATTCAAATATATGTCAATTGATACATGTATCCTTATGTACAGAAATGCACTGTCGAGAAACGCACAAAAAGTGTAGACCTTTGGTACAGTTGAATCTTTCTATACGCACCTTCATGAGGTTTCCCAAAATTTTGACCTCCATTGTTCTCAAGTTCTTTTACGATTTGATCGATGCGCCAAATGTTCACTCTTAAAACAAAACGGTTAAATTTGATTTTAGAGACTTGCAGAATTTCTGCGGAACATATGATCGATCGTCACAAAAAGTCTTGACTTACCTTCCACTTGCATTTCCTTCCACGATTAACTTGTGGAACGGTTCTCGACGGCCAAAAGAAAACATCATTCTTGAACCGTTAAATGTTTTCTAAAACATATCAAAAACGGGATATTTTTCACGGTTAATTAATTGTTATCTTTGGTCAACAATAGGTAGGTAAAAAAGATATGAAATTATATAATTTTCTATATTAATTTGACTCCAGTTTGAATGAATTACACCACACTTATTTAACAAAACATTTATGTTTTTGCAATTGGGGCATTGTATCACGCACCTTTTGACCTTGATTTTGAAATGTGTAAATCAATTCAGGTTGACCATCTCTGTCTTGTTGTCTGATCGAAATTTGCCCTGCTGAAAAACAAATAAAAATTAGATTTAAACCTTAAGAGCATCTTAAAATGAATAATTGTCAACTGCATTGTTGACAAAAAGTGCCAAGTATCAATTTCACCTGGAACAACTTGTTTTTCTGGGCAACATCTAGTTAAACAAAATGCAAGAGGTTCTTGTTATTATTAATACTGCATTTTATAAATTATGTATCAAAAATCATTTAAAATGAAATGTGATATGCTTTAACTGTTCATACCTCTGAGGCAGTCTGTACATATAGGCTTTTCCTATCTAAAATGTGTAAGAATATTAATATAGATACCAATTTTGAGTTAACTCAAACTCTGAAATATTTATGTATATAATATAATCATCTCAAAAAAAGGAGAAAGATTAACAATTACCTTTGACCAAACAAGAACACAATTGCTTTGAACAAAGTCAGCTGCAGACCAGGTCTCAGCAGATCCCGCTGACATGGCCGTTAAGAACTGGAAGTTACTGACATCGTACATCTGAACAAAAATTTTACGCACAATTTTAGTAAAAAAATTATTTTGCTGTCTTCTGGGTGGTTGCATAAATGTAGGTGTACCTGCCATTGTTTTGCTGAGACAATGAGTATAGTTCTCTGTGAGAATGGATTGCAAACAACATGAAGTGCTTTCATTCCAGCCATCTGAGATAAACTTTGATCATACATTGCTTCTATTGCCTAAAATAGTAATATTTTTTCAAAACGTGCAGTGCAGTTATTTGTTCTATATATAAAGCATGTTAGCCCTGACCAACCAAGTGCCAATTAAATAACCACCTTATTTTCTGGATTTCTTTTTAATGGCCATATTTTCACTGTTCCGGAAAGCGTTATTCCAACAAGAACATCCTCTGAACAAGAAGATTTATATACAATCCAGATTAATGAAACTATTTGAAGAACAGATTACATTACATATGACATTCATGCAATGTAAATTCTACTATTAAGGTGATAATAGAGATTCAAGAAATCTAATCAGAGAAACTCTGTGAGATTACACTGGACACCTTGGCGGCGGGGTGGTCTAACCACACAAGCTGCGGCTAACCAATTTGAGGATGCACTGGATGATAGTGTATAGAGCACCTGTAAAGAAATAAAGATATATCAAAATACAGAACTTGAGAGAAAAATGTATAGTGATTGTAGTGGCTCAATTTCATACACAAAAGCTGCAAAGGTCTGATATCTTATACTTACTTCTAAAGTAAGAACATCCACAACATAGACATCAAGATAATATCCATGGCAAACAACCCTCCACTCCTTATTACCTCCAGTGGAAACATGGAATGGCTGAATTAAACCAAGTGAATATGTTAAACATTAGATATACACTCAAAACTCAATTATTACATCAAAGTTCCGCTACCCAGGGAAATGTGGTCAATTTGAATTATGATAAAGCTGTCGTACTCACCAATAAACTTGTGTGTGCTCCTGCGATGGTATTTGTTTGTATGCAAAGTCCATCATCCACATCCCAAAGACACAATTCCCTTATGAAAAGACATAACATGAGTTTGGAGAACTAACTGGAATATATATTAAGGCAATTTTTTATTCTATTTGATCCAAAAATGTGCAATATATAGCCTCAAAATGTGGGATATAGGGTTCTTTCTAATCTTATTGAGCTACTAACGGTATGGAAGGTATACATATTGCAAGGCGAGGCTCTAAGGGAGGGCACACACTGTTATATTGTGAGGTGAAAGCTATAGATCCAGCATGTGGGTGTGCAGATGGAAGTAGATTGGGATCAGTGCATACAGATGGCTATCCTGTGATATTCTCCAGGCGACTGGCTTGTTCAGATATCAATTTTGCATTTGACTTATCAATGATAAGAAATTACCCATTTTCAGCAGCACTGATTACAGCAGACTGATTTTCCAAGCCAACACAAGCACAGGCTAATGCACTGACCAGATCACTGTGACCAAATATTAAACTCTTTGCAACCACCTACAAAATTAGCCAAAATACATTCAATAGGATAATACCAACTCTTTTCTACTATGCTGCAAGATTAATTAGCACCTATCAATGCCCATACAGGGTGAGAAAGATGCAAGGTGGTACTGGGATACCAGCAAGTGACGGTGGTAGGTGGGGGTAGGCCCGATCGTCTCACCTCAACCTTGCCCCCCTCCAAATGCCTAACATCCCAAACGCCTAACTGGCCTGACTTTGAACCTGTTATGACAGTTTTCTGATCATAAGTCACTAGTATACAGGTCACCACGTGCTTCGGAGGAGTGCTGCCCCAAAATACCAACGGAACAACGGCAGATGTTGACATTATAATGAAACTAAAAGCCTGAAACTTTGAGAACTTCAGGTCACATCCATTGTTGTTCCTTTCGAATTTGTTTTCACTTGGATATCCGCTGAACAAGAAGCGGCATTTTCCTCCCCATGTATTTTTCCCCGGTAATGACTTTTTTAGTATCTTTCTAATTCGTTTAACTTCGAAGTTTACGATAAATAATTATATTTCATAGACAAATTTTTGTGTAAATTACTATAAAGCACGTCAACTATAATAAAATCTGCGAACATATATAACTTATTTTGTGATTTGCATATTCTTCTAGGGTACAATTTCCGGTACTATTTGAATATACGGTAAAAATGCCACTTATTATTAATTATCGCAATTTTTCGAGAAGAGATAGAATTTTCGTTTTGTAAATATGGCTTTTATATTATATTTTATCATCGCGATCGTTCTGGCAATCCAACAGGTGAGTTTGCTGTAAAACGCATCGATATTTATTCACGCATGGCTTTAGATATCATTATATTTATCGCGTGAGTGGTTTATAATACAAGAGACGCTGAAGGCATTTTATTAAAATGCCAAAAAACTAACTTTCACTTTTCATAGGCGAACGGAGAGTATGCCATTTTGCGAGCGAGTTCTGAGTCGGGATCGAAGGATTTTTGTGTGGCATACTGGCCATTGTGGCACGATTTGCCTACGAAATTAAGATATACAGTACGTATCTACCCAGATGTCATTTGTCGACTTTTTAATGTTCTCATTTTTTAATCTACACTTGAAATTTGAAAAGTCATGGATACAATGACTATATTGTTTTCTAACCAATCGCCATCTAATATCTTACTTTGTTACACCTTTACGTATTTCGTTGTCCAATAGTTATAATTGCCTGCATTTGTTATGATTGCTTATGAAAAGCTAGGAGACAAAAAGATCTAAGTGACGCAGTCTGCATCAAGAAAACATGATTCGTCACAGTGAATTATAAATCAACTACTCTGAAAAAACGGAAATTTTTCTAGCTAGTTTATCTATAATATCAAAATTATATATAATTTTAAAAATTAGTTTAGAAATTCATTGTTTTCTGTCAATGAACACCAAAATATTAGCATATGTAGCATGACTAATTGTCAGGCTGGCTAGGCCACTGTAGATTTTTAGTTTAGATTTTTAGTCGTATTGTCATGAGTTGCCCATGTGTGCTGTTTTGCAACAAATCCATAACATTATCAAAATCTATAACAGCCAACCACTTAACAGCATATATCGCAGACTTTTTGCTTAATTTAGCACTTGGGTAATATCTTTTTTAGCCAAAATATGAATACCAACTGGTGCATCTTGAAGATCTATGTAACGAAGACAAACAATTCTCTTTTGGGAATAAAGCTGTATTTTCACCAGAGAATAAACATGTGCCTAATTGCACATTCACGAAGCGATATATGAATGCTCAAAGACAAAATGCTACAGAGTTGGTCGTTGTGAGCACAAATGATCAATTGGTATGATCAAGTTCCTATGACAAATAGAATTGCATTGACCAATTTATAGCCTGGTTGTTTCATGAAATGGTTGCCCCCATCAGTGGTTGAAATAAAATTCTTCATATTTTCTATAGTTTTTTGCAGTGGCAAACTCTCATTCAGACTATAATATATCAGAAATCCCTTTGGCCGTTATGAAGAAATCTGATTTCTCCACCATGCAGGTAGATGCATATGGTCAATACAGCACTGACCATATAACAGTAACGGATTGTTACAGTAAATAAAACAAAAATATTAGCACTGGAGACAAAGCTGACTGGCTACTATGTTTCACCTCAATCTTCTTTAGGCACTTGGTGAAAATGCAGTTGTTCAATTATATGTACCACCAATCTCTGCCCAATTGATACAAATATGATTGTGATATGGTTCCTAGCTGTTGGTACAGTTGTTATTGGTGCTTACTGGAGTGGTGTTGTTGCCACGGAACAAAGGTTGGTTTGGTTTAAGTTTAAAAAATGCATGTGGGTACAAAATTTGGAACTAAAACTTTCCCACAATACCTCTTCCAAGATAGTTTTAAATATCATATCTAACCATCTTTTCCTCCATTTTCTTGTTTATGTATGTAAAGAGAAACGAAAACAGGGAGTAATGAAGCTTCAAGCAGCAGCTCTGATGAAGATGAACAAATGCAGATCACCCCTTTGATGGTTGTCATCTTTGTCATATTCATCTGCCTGTTTCTGCTGTTGGTCTATTATCTCTATAAATATGTGGTTTATGTTATAATTGCTATATTTGCTATCGCCTCGGCATCTGGAACATTCGAGTGCCTTAATGCCTTTGCTCTTAAAATACCACTTTGTAAGTACCGCATTGTTTAAGAAGCTCGGTTCACATTATACACAAACTAGTGTTTTCAGTTGTTAAACATACTTGCCACCCCTAACCAACCATCCACATATACCTGAATGGTGAAGTCTATTGAAACATATTCCTGAATGGTGAAGTCTATTGAAACTTCTCTACAGCAATGTGTTGCCCTGGCTGTAATTTTACCCAGCTTCACAATGAGAATAACTTTAGAACTTGTTATTCAATGGCAGCAGAACTTGTTGTTTAAAGTATGGAGAAAGTCTCTTAGGTCTTTTGAAAGTCTCTTGAGAATCAAGGTTCATGAAAAACTGTGTGCCATCCTATTTGTTTTCCTCACAGGTACATGCAGAATACATGTGCCTTTCACTTCTGGTCCTGAAAAACATGTCCTTGTCAGGACAATGATTGTTTGCGGGATTTCGCTTGGTTTAGCCACCTGGTGGGTTATTGTACGCAACGAAAGGTAATTTGAGAAAATGCCGCTTGTTTCAACGACTAGAGATTTTATTATCCTCGCTCATTCGCAATGCAAATGTGAACACCGCACTTTACGTTTTCCAATAGCTACGGTTGGATCTTACAAGACATTCTTGGCGTGTTATTTTGTATATCGATATTGAAGAATCTACGGTTGCCAAGCATGAAGATTTGTACCTTACTGCTGGTGTTACTTCTGATCTATGACGTTTTCTTCGTCTTCATCACCCCACTTTTTTCTGCTGGTCATAACAGCGTTATGGTCGACGTCGCTACAGGTAGATAAGTAAATGATGTAGCTATAGCAATACGCGTTTTAATTTTAGCAGCGGGGTTATGTCTATGAATTCAACGGTGGAAGTTAAAGTATTAACCTTTAAAATGGCCTTATGAAAAAAGCTGGTCCAAATCAGAAGTTTTTCCAAAAGCTGGTCCAAATCAGAAGTCCAAAAACTCGGTTTTGTGGCAACCATCTATTTGATTGAAAAACTAGTCAATAGTATATCGATTGTTTTTATTGCATGTTCAGGTGAAGGACACAAAGAACAGCTTCCGATGGTTCTCAAAGTTCCACGTATCATCCGCTCTGCTCTGTTGATATGTGAAAGAAGGGATTACTCATTGCTAGGTTTTGGAGATGTTTTAGTGCCTGGTATGTTGGATTCATTCAACACAATAGTTGCGATTACTTTAGCTAGGAACTAGCCCTGGTCTGAAATTGTGGACATTGAAGAAAACAAAATCAGTAAAGCGCAGTAAAGAATAACGAATGCCCCCAATAAAGTCATATTTCTCTGTGTTTATCAAGGTCTTTTCGTTTCATTTTGTCATTCTTTCGACCGAATGGCAAAGACGCCATATCGAATATACTACATTGCCAGTTCGATTGGTGAGTTTTCCGAAAATGCAGCATCGTATTTCAATCAACTGAATACTTATGATAATGATGGTATTTTTTACATTTAGCATATGGCATCGGTCTTCTTATCACATTCGCTGCTTTGTATTTTATGAAAGAAGGTCAGCCTGCTCTGGTCTACCTCGTGCCGTCGACGTTACTAACAGTTATGATTATTAGTTTAATACGAAAAGAGTTTTGGGATCTATGGAATGGATCGTGTGTAAGTGGATAGACCGTCCTCATAGTGGCGTCAAACGCAGGATGAAAGTGTCACACGAAATTTGATTGGCTCCGCAAAACTGACGAGTCAATCAGTAATATTATAGGCTTTTTGCGTTTGACGTCATTATGAAAAAGGTCTATTATATACAGTTACATTTTTGTCTGGTGAAATAAGTGATAATGGTAAAGTTCAAAGTTGAGATTTAAGAAAAACACGCCAGCGGCAACTCACCACTTACTTTATCACCTCAGCAATGAAAACCATCTGACATCTTCAGATTTCTTCAATTCATAATGTCCCTTTATTCCATAATGTCCCTTCATTCCATAATGTCTCTTCATTCCATAATGTCTCTTCATTCCATAATGTCTCTTCATTCCATAATGTCTCTTCATTCCATAATGTCCCTTCATCCCATGATGTCTCTTCATCCCATAATGTCTCTTCATCCCATAATGTCTCTTCATCCCATAATGTCTCTTCATCCCATAATGTCTCTTCATTCCATAATGTCTCTTCATCCCATAATGTCTCTTCATTCCATAATGTCTCTTCATCCCATAATGTCTCTTCATTCCATAATGTCCCTTCATTCTATAATGTCCCTTCATTCCATAATGTCCCTTCATTCCATAATGTCCCTTCTTTCCATAATGTCCCTTCATTCCATAATGTCTTTTTCCATCCCATAATGTCCCTTCATTCCATAATGTCCCTTCATTCCATAATGTCCCTTCATTCCATAATGTCTCTTCATCCCATAATGTCCCTTCATTCCATAATGTCTCTTCATTCCATAATGTCCCTTCATTCCATAATGTCTCTTCATTCCATAATGTCCCTTCATTCCATAATGTCCCTTCATTCCATAATGTCCCTTCATTCCATAATGTCCCTTCGCACCATCAATCACAATGTCTACCGTGTTCTATTTCAGAAATCCACCAACCCTATCACTCAACCGTTAGTACAAAGCGACAACGAAGACGACTGTGTTTATGACAGAGAAACGGACACACGTCGGTCGAGCACGTCTAGTAACGTAAACAATGAAAGTCAAAACAGTGAAAAACAACATTTAATTAACTAACCAATTTAACTAACCATTAAAGCTATGAAGAAATTCTAGTATATTGTTTAAAATAATTGTGCGCTGAATATGAACTTTATTCAGTAATTTTGGGGGACGTTGTATAAAGAATATTGTAAAATTGTTGACGTTGAGTTACGTTGTATAGTCCTTAATTTTATCACCGAATAATTTCAGCGGTCTGTTCTATAGCGTCTCTACTATAGCTAGATATGCATCTAAAGTGTGGTTTCCATAACTTCTTATTTTTCACAAAGTTTACATCGTATATGAAGTAGAAAAATATTGCTTATATGCAAGAAGTACTTTTCTACACTGATATGAAATACTAATTAAATTTGTAAGAATACGTCTTCACTGGAGTCAGAATAACAATTTTATATATTACGTTTATGATCGTGATTTGGCAAAGTGTTTTGGTTCATGATAAGATTGTCTCAGTGCTTGGAAAATTGAAGTGCTGCATCATTGAATGGTTTTCCTTGAAACGTCGGAATTTGTAATATTAAATACTGCGAATCTTCCAAGGATGTTACTATACTGTAGGTAACGTACAAACGGCTTTTTCATGGTTAAAAACTCCAGGGGCCGGTAAATGGTTGTATCAAGCACGTTTAGCTTAAACGGTGGATAAGTCAAAATTAAATAACACTCTTACATCTGTCTTGAATGAGTGAACTTGAATACTATGCACTGAATATGTAGTTGTAAACAGTATCTTTGTATTAAGGTTAAAAGCATTTAGTTTGCTTGTTGAGTAAAACGATAGACTCGCTTTCCGGCCCCAGGACGGAATTCACATACATGACTAGAATAGTCCATAGTAATAAAACTGTCGCATGGAAAAAGCGCTGATTATAGACGTTTTCAAAACTGGCAACGTATAGGATGAAATTTTAGGGCTTCCCATACCACGTTCACCGTGTACATAATAATTCTTTGTCTTACACAAAGAATGGTTTAACACGCGGCTATTTTAGTCACACACATCATTTGTCCATGTGCACATCAAACATGCATGCATGTCATTGCTTTTGGAAAAGCGCCAGTTTTAAAAAGTAGCAACTAAAATGAGACAATATTGCCTTGGCAAATGGCAAGTATTTTGCTATCTTCCATGCGAAACCCTCCCGTCCTATAATCCTATAATAACCCATGATGAACTTTTTTCGTCTTGTCTCCTCGTAGCTGTTATTAAATATGTTTGTTGCATTTATATTTTCAATATTTCATATTCGCTCTTCCTGTGGTTTTATTTTATATCGTGTTTTATTTAGAAGTTGAGTGCACTTTCCTCGCGTTTCTACGCACCAACTCTCCCACAAAGTCTAGAAATATACTGAAAAGCATCCTTCGTATCAATAATCTTATCAAGAGGTAGTTCCTGTCGACCAACCCCCGCCTTGGGGAAGGAAAACATACACTTGTTAATCGCCAATATGGCGTTCAAAACGGACTGGTTGGTGTTATTAATTGAGGCAACGATTTCAATTACACAATCTTTGAAAAAATCAAAAATCTTTGTGCTCATCAATTGCCGAGGTACTCTTCCTGCGAACCCTATTTTTTTTCGTTTAAAGAAACCGTACGCCTCTGCCCAGCTCGTTAGATTTCCCTTTTTCGAGGCTTCCGCAAGTCATCCACATTTATAGCTTAAAGATTTCAGTGAATGGCAAACATTAAAGATTAAAAAAAATTGCCTCACATGACGATCCTACGATATATACCAAGCATTTCTATAGGGTAAACATCTGACACCTCTGTCGGGGTCAAGAGGTTTTTCATGCCTTTAAAATAAACTTTGGAGTTTGACCCAGAAAGTGCATGATCATGACGTAGCGTGAAATTTGAAACGAACAATTTACAGAAAGATCAGTTGAAAGCGCTGAGTATTTAGTTTCACTTTGCCGATATTTTTACAATATTCGATCATGTCCATGGGCAACAAAAAGCTGATTGAAATTTGAAATTATTCAAAGACAATTTATCGATCATTTTGCAAAAAGATTGTATTGAAAGGGGTGTTGCAACTTAATTAGACTAGCGTGCTTCGTTAACTTTATAATTGAAGCGAATTAATACCTGTCAGCAAAACGTAAATCATTGTTTCATGACTTTCATCAGTAGTAAAAGCAATCCAATTTCGTCATTCCTGAATTTAAGGGCCGTTCCGGCATAAACTGAGAAGTTTGCCTGCGATTTTCGTCTTCTGATATATGTGAACGAGTGGCTGAGTTACGGATGTGAACATAAGTGCACTTACACATCACAGGATACAAAACTATTCGCTCGTTGGCATCAATCAAAGGAAGAAAATCGCGACGGGAATTGCAAAGAAACTGATAAGCGCATTAAAATCACAGTTATTATTGGCAAAGTAAGCGCTAACATATGATCCTTATTCAGCTTTGTTACATCAAGTATCCATAAGAACAATGAAATGACGTAATCGCAGGTGAATATTTATCTTTCCATGCGGGAAAGGAAGTAAACAAAGACTCTCATATAAAGAGTGCCACAGAACGCACCACAAGAAGGAAGCCGCATATTATAGGTCGGGCACAACTGTTTGCCTGTAGTCGTTGCTTGATCTCACCCTCCTATGGCTTTGGAAAGAGAAGAAAGACGTAGCTTTTTAACAAGAGTGCTAATATGGATGCATTTTCGCGAGGCCCGAACTAGACAGGTAGGGAACACGAAGTGATATTTCGAAACTTCGTTCCATATTCGCATTCGCTTTCATAAAAGAGATATCAATTTTAACCGTCCCAATTATCTTGTACTGGCTAACCGCTGGGAGTTCTAATAAAAGCAGAAATAGTAAACAAGATTTTTCTGACAATCATAGCCGTTTTTATCGTGAAATCATAATATTAGGCGAAGGAAAGGCATAACTTTTTTAAACTTCTGTTCGCTAATAATAATTCAAAATCGTATTTGATATCAATCAAAATGTCTTGTTTGTCGTTCAACCTGTTATCTCGTCTGGCTTATTAGAAAGGTCAAAGTTAAGCGTGTCAAAATGATTTTCGTCCGGCTAACATAAACTTAGTTTAATAACTCTGAAATTCGCTATTATCTATGTTAAGAGAAAACATGTATTATGCTATATCCACATACGCGAAATATCGGGAAAATATGACAACAATTTATACAATATCTTTACGAATATACTTTCTGGCAATTTTAATCATGGCTGGAATTTCTCACAGAGAATCCACGGGGGTTGTTATGAAAAGAGCAGGGTTCAAGATGCACTTAATAGCATCATTGAATCCGATAACTTTTAAAGTATAAATAGAAATTGTATCGATGTATTCGTATAAACCGCTAAATTTTGACCTTATATATAAAACATTCCTGATTCTAGAGGAATATTTCTGCGAGGAATATCTCCTTGTGAAGGCTTTTTTTCTATGATAAAGAAAATGAGTAGGTTTCTGTCACCAGCTGGTGCTCTGCAATGCTTGCAGACACTTCATTCAATGACAATGGAGTATAACTATTGTGTGAATTATCTATGTAAATGACGTGATTGATGCGCTAATGGCATTGAATGTAGACAGCCTATCAGGCAACAAACTATTTTGGCAACCCTTTGGTGTTTTAATAGGTCTGTTCATTCCAAAAAGTTGTTCACCAGGATACTGAGCGAACAACTCAGGGAAAACCTCTGAGAGAAAACTAAAGAGCCAGTTCTTGCTTGGTTTGAAGTGAATCCGAATATGCTGGTACTTTTAGGGCCACCATCATATATTTTAAATTACTAAACCTATAATCAGTTCAATGAAGAGTTTTGCTTTGCTATTGAGCAAGTCTTCAATTTTACAAGCTAACCTGTCAAATAGTGCTCCTGCTGTTGCTTGAGGGTTTCACTGCATTTTCAAGAGAACTGGTCTAGGTCAGAATGTTGGCATGGCTACAAGCCTGCTAGACATAAACCCTCACTCAAGACATTTAAATTGGTGTGATATATGGCTCAGGAAGCTCAGATCCAACCTCGTACCCAGGGTCTTTACTCGTGGGGAGAAAAGACCCTGGTTGCCGCTGGTCACGTGGCACCCAGATTCTGGGCAGTGAGCTCCACATATATCTGGAGTAAGAACTTTGGGTGCAAAAAGTGAAGCCAAAGATGGCGGACACTGAAGCGCTATAGTACGTCAGTTTCAGTCCCCTTACTCGCGCGGCCAAATATTTCTCATTGTTTTTGACCGGGAGTGACGGTTCCCGAAACCCTCAAATTTTCGTGTTTTTCATCATTTTGAGAGCACAATGGAAAAATAGATTAATTTTACTGGGAATCTGTTTCTCTGCATCTACCCGATGTAGGTGCCGCATTTTCCGACTGTACGTGTGAGTAAATATGTATTTTTCGCCATAAATTCAAATACGCATTTCAGATTTGTTTAATTTTGAGTTATTTTCATATATTTCCACCTTATGTTTTGAGTTTCTGGTTTCGCTTTTGGTTTTGAAACGCCTTAACACTAGTTTTCCTTTATTTTTTGGCCAGCTTTCCTAGCATAGGGCTCTTTTTAAGGTTTCTTTTATACCTGCATTTAATATGAGTCTTGACTCTTGTTTATAAATTTCATAATCATATATTAGTATTATTTTAAACTCGTACGTTTTTCGGCATAATTTTCTTTCCTATTAATTTTTTACATGGATGAAAGCCTTATATAAATGAATTAAACTTAGAAAAGTTTTATTTATGTTTTTGGGAAGCATATTCTGCGAGTAAATGTTGTGATTTGCGAAAAGCCGAAAACATCAACAATCCGTCACTCCTTAGCTTTCCGTGTAAGATATCGCTTATTTCTTTGTTAATTTAATTGAAATATAAAAATATCTCAATACAAAGCATTTGTATTATACCTATCATTGAAATTCCGCTCATTTTTTACTCAAAAATAGGAAAAAACTAAAGTTGAAAAATACGAATTTATTTGACCGTGCACAGTAGGAGGACTGAAACTGACGTACTATAGCGCCTCAATATCCGCCATCTTTGGCTTCACTTTTTGGCCTCACGGAAGTCTTAAGTTCTTACTCCAGATATATGTGGAGCTCACTGATTCTGGGTGCTAAATTGAAATTTTCCTGTGGGAGGGGTGGGAGAGGAGCGTACGTTTGTTATCGGAAAATTTTCCTCGTAGTATTGTGTTTTGTCCTTCGCAAAAAGAAAAAATATACATAGTTCACGCTTGAAGATTTTGTGTTATTGCAATTCAATAACACTGCCATGGCCTCAGAAGAATGGAGTATTAAGTTACATGTTAATCATGGAATTAGATCAAATTTCAAAAGAATACTCATTCAGTTTTCGCCAATGGCTAGTAAAGGCACGCCAAAAAAGTACTACAAGAATCCATCTAAATCGTCGGTCAATATCTCGCGCTGCAGACTCTGTAATTCTGTTGGTGATCCGAGGCATTGTAAAGGTTTGTTTCGGGACTCTAACGTCGCGATTTTACGTGACGTTGAGACTATTTTCGGCGATAAGTTGCCACAAAGTAGCAACCTTCCGCACTTGATCTGTCGGCCATGTGAGAGAAGACTAAAAACTGCTATACTGTTAAAGAAAACAATTTACGAAACGCAGCAACAACTACAAGAAGAAATCCGTGCCAAACGTTGTGTTGAGATATCGCCGTCGGTCGATAAACCAGCACCCAAAGTTCGAGCAACTGGGATTACGCGTCGACGCAGTATTGATTTTGACATCGCTACCTCTGAAAGCGCAAGTCCTACAACATTACCTTCACAAGTAAGTGTTCTTTATTTTGCGTGTAATGCTGTTTAATTCTAGTATTTTGATATTTTTCTTGTAGAATATTTAGCGCTATTAATGAGGCGTGATATTCACAAATGATTAATATTTAATCATGGTCATGAATAATAAGATCTATATTTGGTTCATACTTCATAGTAATTTTAATTTATAGTGAAATGTTTCGAAATTGATATCTTTTAAAATATATTCTAATTTGCCTATTTAAAGGAAGGTGAATTATTGGATTTGGCTAAGGCAAATCAAGAATTGATTGAGGTTGCCAGAAGAAGTGAACCATCTGTTCTCAGGCAAATATCCTATGATGGTATGTCAGATGAGGGTTGGATGTCGGAAGTGTTAGAAGAGATGGCAACCAGATGTCCAGTTGTGAACAAAATACTGCTATCTCTGATAGAAAGCAGCATCTATCCGGGGAAGAAGAATCCTGGCATCTGCTTAATTTATGGCATCATAATGTTCTTAAGATGCCATGAATTGAGTAGAATTCAGAGAATAAACTCGGTTTTGTTGGTACAAGGTCAAGCATCTGTTAATGTAAGTCATTACATTTTCATGCCCAAGTAATTTTTTGTGTTGTTAAATATGTTATGAAATATAAAGTAATCTAAATACTTAATTAAGCCCTCTGATTAAAACTATCCATATTGGAGCCACATCAACAGTATGAAAAATTGCTATGAGACAATGAATTCTGCTTAACTGCTGTAAATAAAATTGCTTAGGCTTCTAGCTTTAGGCAGTTGCCAGGCAGTTAAATCAATTTTGTGCATGTGTGGCCAAATGAACGAGATCACCAATGCACTGATAGGATATGCCATATGCATGGTTAGGATTTACAAGTGTTTAGTAAATAAAGGGTTTTTAGCATATGTAGTCAGGTAATACTGAAATTATTTTACACACAGGCTCATCATGTCCTTCATTGTACTGTAACACTAACAGCTGACTTAACTAAATATTACCATTCAATTCTGTTTGTGTATTTAGAACCAAAAATTCTGAATTTGCATTCTTATTGAATGCTGTACCTGTTTTAGAATGATTGACAACTGATCTTGTAGCCTTGTATGTGATTCCTGATTCTTTTGTACCTTCTCCCCAGAATTCAACATTTGTTTTTTGATCATCTGTTATTTAGTGTATTGCCAAATTGAATAAATATGGGCTATGTCTTGAGCCCACCAAAAAGTACAAGATCCTTGACGATGTTGGAAAACATTTACTTGACCGTGCCACAGAGCTAGTGAAGTCTGGTTACAAGTTTGTCTACGTATTAGACAATATCGACTGGGAAGAAAAAGCACATGATATGAGGCAGGATATTCAAAACCGTAGCGTTCATGCAGTTGCTTCCAGTATTGTCTTTAATCGAGTACCAGACCAAGGCTTTTCTGACTCTGGTCCACAGCAGGATCTCAGGAAAATCAATGCCAGGGATGTGGTGGCTGTAAATGATTCAGAGCTAAAAGAGATACGAAGTCGGTACCAGGTCATCATTGCCAAAATTTTGTTTGAACATTTACCATCCTTCGCCATGTTTCAACCATTTACCCCTCAAACCACCAAATGTGTTTATTCCAAAGAATTATCCGAAAAATCTGAGGTTGTCACAATGCCAGTACTTATGAAAGATGAAAAGAAATACTCGGACTGTGTTGATGTTTTGGACCAACTTGAGAAGTGGACTCGTGAAATATATTCATCAGCTGGACTGTGTGCACCAGAGCCTGAAGAAAACTGTGAAAGTACACCTGCAATTGGAACAACATCAAGACCTGATCAACCTGCCTCACATGTCCCACCAGCTGCATCTGAGAGTGATCCATTGCATGGTGTGAAAGTACCATGCTTTGGAGATCAACTCACCCGTGTTAGATTTGCTGGGGCAAAAGATTTACGTGCTGGGTGCCATTCAGCCAAGCAGAGGTTGGATCATCTCTATCCCTTTTGCATTGTTGACTGGCATACGAAGAGAAGTTATCTTAAGGTATTGTAGTGTATAATTGTCTACTCCTATAAATTATTTTGCGCCTGTAGTTTTATTTGCACCCATGATTTACACTGGTCTCTGCAAAATTAATGTATCAACACTGGTACTGCAATTGGGTAGATTGTGTCGAATACTAAACAGGTATGTCCTTGGAATATTTGTCTTCTAATATTTCATTTACTGCTTTTCAGACTGTTTTTAAGAAATTATATCTCAATTCTGGAAGGGAAAAGGGTACACTTCGCTTCTTCAGGGAAAAGCTAAACAGGAGAAATGTTACAGCTGATGTCAAACACTATGAGGATTGTGAGCAGCTGTTTTTCAGTGTTGGTAAGTGTTTTGTTATCGAAGCCCTTTTGGAGTTTTTCCAAATGGGTGATGCAAAACACAAGCCAACAGCAAACGGTCCTCATAGTGTTTATGTTCTCAGTGAAGAGTACCAGAAGAGCTACCTCAACAATACCCTGGACAAATTCCTCAATGAGTATGTTTTTGTTGGTGATGATGAGACTGTGGCAACTGATGATGAGACTACGTTATCTGGTGATGATGAGACGACTGATGGTGTTTGGGCCTACAGTATAAACATCTTGAAGTCATTCCTTCTGCTGGCAGATATAAAGGATGCTGTTGCAACAGGTAATGGTGAGTACCTGTGTGTGTTAAGAAAGCAGCTGTTACAACATTTCTTTTCCACTTCTGGTTTTAATGAGTTTGCAATTGAAATGTTCATCAATATTTTGCAAACCAAAGTCCTCTTATCAGAAGCTGAAGCCCATAGATGCAAATGGGCTGCTACTGTTAATTGGAAAGGTGGGAATGGAAAGAACATTGAAATTGATCTATTTCAAGAGAACCGCAACTGCGAGATGAAAAAACTGATTCGTTCTATGGGGGCTAACAAAACTGAAAAGGCAATCGAAAGGGCAAGCAAAGCATCAGGAGGAGTTTCGAAATTGTGGAGGCATTCGAAGGTCAGGTGAATATTCGACCAAAGTCATCAGGCCACACACACAAGTCGTCAGCTGATGATGAACAACTGATAGGGAAAGATTTGAGGGCATTAAGACCATTTAAGGAAGGAGAGGGTAGGATGTTTGAGACATTTGGAAATATCTCGTGTGATCCACTACACTCATTCAATGAAGAAAAATTCAAGGAATGGATTGACAGGCATAAGAACAACATTCTCATGCATTACCCAGTGTTTGATGACAGAGAACAATCAACTGAATGATTAATTTTAAAATAAAAACATTATAATAGCACTTGTGCAGTGTTTTCTTTTATGCTATTGTCTTTACCTGCAACACTTACGTGATGCAATATATTTGCTTTACACCAAAATGAGGTTTAGTGATGAAGACAATAACATAAGGGAAAACCTGCAGAAGTACTATTGCTATATTTGGGGGAAATTATTTGAGACTGAACCATTTGAAACCCATCACCTCCTAATACAATTTAACTACCCATATCACAATTTAACCATGGTACACATATGCCAGATTGATATACTCATTGGCACTGGCACTGTTCTGTTGTTGAGTGATATATTCTACCAGTAAAATACTAAAGTAAGGTCTGTCTGGGTGCATTGGGACTCAGTGGTTTCACTGGATTCATTAGTGTGTAAATAGACTTATATGTATTATGCCATATATTAAACTTTGTTACATATAAGATAATTTAATTTAATACTTTTAGTATATACAGTTGTTGTCAAAAAGGTTGTATATATATATACAGCCGCTGTCATTAATGTTGTCCAAATCAGGTATATCAATATACCTGTCATGTGACTTATTGGTATGCACCAACTCGAGTGTGCTTGCTATGTAAATATATCTGCTATGCGGGTGCTTCATACATTTACATATCAAGCACACTCGAGTTGGTGCATACCAATAAGTCACATGACAGGTATATTGATATACTTGATTTGGACAACATTAATGACAGCAGCTGTATATATATATATTTACATATTTATTTATACATATTTATACACTTAATACATTTTAGCTTAATCGGATTCTGAAGTTTCTAATAAGCACATAGTGCATGTACAATGTTCCTCACACACATTGCAACAAAGGTGTAATGGCTTGCAAAGAGTACTTTGTTCATAGTCCAAAGACTTTAACAGCAACTTTCTCAGACACTCATTCTCACTCGAACAAAAGTTACGCATATCGTCTTGCATATCAACTCTATTCTTACCAATATCTCTGTTATTGTAATATAGGCTAGCTGTTGATGGCTTGCCATCCCTTCCAGCACGCCCAGTCTCTTGAAAATATGCCTTGACTGAATATGGAGGTCCAACATGAATCACCTGACGTTATTAGGTATGTCCACACCCATTCCAATGGCAACAGTTGCAAAAACCACCCGAATAATACTTCTTTTGAGCAAAGCTGTTTCAAAATCTCTTCTTTCATTTGGTCAGTTTGTGGTGCATGGAACTGAGCAAACAACCTATTTGATGGGGTTGGTTTAGCACCTGGAGGGTAATACTGTTGGGGACCAAGAATATGCTCAAACAATTTATATGCAAATCCACATATCTTTAAGGGTGTATACACAATTGTTAAAGGATATTGATTCTTTTCTTGGAGAAGACCAATTGCAATTGGCTCCAAAATAGACTTGACAGCATCAATGTCTTGTCCAGATCGAAATATTTTACTGTAAAAAATATTTTTCCTATCTGGATTGGCAACAATAGAAATGCAATTTTTCAATCCAAGTGAGTCCTGAATAGCCTTCATGTCCATCCTATTAGCTGTTGCAGTCATGGCAAGACATGGACATCTGGGAACAATGCACATAATACTCCCAGTTTTCCGTAATCTTTCCTAAAGTCTTTCCCCCTACAGTACGAAACAAAAATATCATAGAATTTGTTTAGTGAAGCATCCATTTTTTTCCAGATGGCTACCCAAATTTTACACATGGTATACTAGAAAATCTGTTTACTAATATTGGAATTTTCATTTTTCAAAATACTAACCATTCCACTATACAATGAGCCTCGTCTACGACAATAGCAACAACATTCTCTTGGTAGATATTGCTCAGCAATAATTCCCGTCCATATTTACTGGAAATCAAAGTCTCTGGATGCGCAAAAACAATGTTATAAGCTCCAACACGTAAATTGTTCTCTTCGCACAGACTGAAATCGACATCTACATCATCGTTCATATATTCCTCGTCAGAATCAAGTTCCCGACTTCTCGGCTCTTTCACATTCAAAACGGACGCTCGGATTCCACTCGTACTTAAGCGAGATATTTGGTCACTCGTCAAGGAATTAAGAGGCGATACAACGATGACTATTGAATCTATCTGTTCCGTTGAAATACTCGATTTCGAACTAGAACCGCGCAATTTATGTTTCGCGAACAACAGTACAGGCGTAAGATGGAAGATCAGAGATTTTCCATATCCCGTTGGTAAAACGCACATAACATCCTTTTGCAAGTAAATACTCTCAAGACAGATAACTTGCTTTGGTTTTAAGGTAATTTTTTTATATAAACTATTTAAAACCGCAAATTCCAAGCACGAGAAAAAGGCAATGTATTCCAACATGGCGACGACAGCAGAAATGACAGCTAACAAGTGGAAGCATGTAATATGATACTTTCTCCACACCCCCTGAGGCGATGCAATTTTTATAGGCCACGTGACCAGCGGCAACCAGGGTCTTTTCTCCCCACGAGTAAAGACCCTGGGTACGAGGTTGGCTCAGATCTTGGAAAATACAACCTCTCAACAATATCAATCTGTGCATTACAATTAAAAAACTCATGCAATTTTCAAAAATGACATTTATCTGATACACCATCAGCAGTTTTGAACATATGCTATTTCCAAATATTTGGGCCAAATTGATCGAAACAATTCTTCGATAATATTATATTTTTGCACCCTCGTGGTTGATTTAAAGACAAAATGATTTTAAAATGCAAGGTCAATATATTTACAAGGAGTATAACACACTTTGCCTGTTTGTTACGGTAAAATCGAATTTACTGCGCGAAAAAGTAAAACAAAGCACTTACCAAGAGTAACAAATTACGATTTGGAACGGTTTCGATGTCACAATTTTCATGTTCGATTCTGGATGACCTTCATCTTCGTTCGTTTGCTTCGCCATTCGATAAAATTGTCCCGCAAATTTACCGTTACGTGGCGTAAAATTTGTCGCCGCGCCTCCCATATCGCATTCTTTGCACCACTCCTCTCATAGTCGCAATATTTGACATAGAGAAGAGAAATTTTGGGATGAAATCTTGAATAGATATGCTGTCATAGGGCAACGATTTTCAGCGTTATACAAACAGGGATTACACTTCGATATACCGTTTAAAAGGCATGGTTTATGAGTCCGAGTTGGCTATGTTTCTGCTGTATAACAGAGCAGCCTCCGCCGGAGGCAATGGCGACCGATATATTCCTGTTCGTGTTGAAATACTCCATAATATCGTTGTTTTGTTCCTCTAGAGACGGCCAAGGATTGACAGAAGTATGATAGGGGAGCCAATGAATTTCCAGGTGTGTTGTGGTGTAGTTTTGACGCCAATTAGACACGCAAGGTCTAATAAACAATCTGAATGTTTAGTGGACATTTAATAATGCAGAATTGGGTTCGTGTGTGCGAATTTTAAAAAATAAATGTCTTGTTTTTCACAGCACACGGGCCATATTGGGTCAGGAGAAGTACAAGTATCGGTCGATGTAAGTAGGACAAGTGTTGATTTTTTGTGATTTAAATTGTATCGGCCGTGCATCAAAGCTATCCACGTCTAGTTGTTTACAACAGAGAAATTAGAAGTGAAGGTTTCTTTAAATGTTTGTTTTCTACACCAAAGTTGCATCGCATTTCCTCGGGGTTCGGGCGAAAGAATATAAAGTGCGAATATCCGCCTGGCACTCGATTATTTTGTAGCCAGTACGGTTGCCGAGAATTGGACGAAAAATTAAAGGAACAAAACAATTATTCCTGCTCGTTGTTGCGCTGTGTTAGCGGGCTGAGACGAAAACATTGGGCGATCGCAAAGAAACCAGCTCCAAGTGTGGCCAATATTGATTTTAGACATTAGCAAAGAAATATATGAATAATTTTAGGGGCCGGTGATGCCTAATTCCATAATGACTGTCGATGCAATTGCGAATGTATTTGTGAATTCCTGGGGGATTATTTGGCAATTCTCTCGAGCTCATTATAGATGGCATGTTTAGATTAGCGTCTCATGTCAAACACGTTTTATACCCTGACAAATACTCATTTCCCCTTTTTTTGGAAAGTCCAAGATTCATGTGACACAAACGTGACTCATGGCCATCCAAAATTACTGTTGTGGAGCCATTGTTTCCTAGCCATGTTTCCTGAAGGTGGGCAGAGTGAGAAAACACGAGCAACTAATTTGGAGAAATCTTATATGCTTATGAACGTGATGATTCTGCTTCACCGTAAACTGTTTTTGGTTTTACCAACAATATCCTCGAGGGTGGGTGGGAGAATGTTGGTAAACTCAAGTGAATGTCAGAATTTTAAAATATCACAGCAATATAAGACTTTGGCCATCCTTGTTTCACAGCCAAATGCTTGTGTATGCCCCAAGAATACTGCTTCATAAATTCATAGAATACTTTTCATACGAACTTCCAGATGGCATCAGGGATTAATCCCCCCCAGTTGAACTTTGTATGTTCCTATTTATAATCCTTAAATTAGTGTGCTTTTCCCCACAAGAAAATTGAAACTGAAAGCTGAGAATGCATTCACAAGCAGAATAATAACTATGTTTTGTTTATAACTTCCATCCAGCTTGTGCCAGTATATTTATTTATGTTTTGAATTTTCCTATAATTGCTCTTAAAAATAAATTCATATGGTTAGGTGTTTACACTAGGAAATTGTCATATCAGGTATTCAAGAGTTTAAAAATATCAAGCAAATATAACTTGTGTGAGCCATAAATTTAAACAATTGTTGTCTTGGACACAAATCTTTGTATCTCTGAGTTATTTTTCTTTAATGAGAAAAAAGTCTTAACAATGTTCAGACAGCCATGTCTATAGTGTAATGATTAAGTCTGCATGTGTATTGAATTCTGTCCTGTCAAATCTTGTTTGACTGAGAAAGAGTTGATAAAATGTATGGAAATGTGCTTTCTATTTTGTGTTCGAACCTCGCACAGCTTTATTCAGATTTAGTTTTATGATTTGAAATGATTTAATCTGATTATTTAGCTCAATGATGTTACATACAGAATGAAAAGCAAAGGTGGATATCAGGATCATAGTGTAGATAGTAGACTAACACCAAATGGCGTAGAAATTAAAGAAGGCAGCAATGTAGCTCAAGAGTAATAATCAGGTATGTGCAATCAATCCGAAATTTCAACTCAACAATATTTTGGACATGCTCTAAAGTAATTTAGCAAAAGTTGAATAAACTGTGTTGTAAATGTAATTCATTATGTTCTATTCCTTTTGCAGATTTTCTAAACTTTTTTGTAAATACAATGAAGACATATTGTGAATATTTTTGATGTCAAATCAATTGGAACTTATTCTAATGTCAATGTTGACATAACCATGTCCAGGAAACCCAACAAGTTATGCAAATCTTTATATTTCTGGGGATTTTTTGGAGCAAGAGGACAAATCAACTGTCAGACTTTGATACACTATAAACATTGTATGAAATAAATGAAATGTGAGGAAAGACAATCTAAGACATGTATTCATCCAAAATACAAGCTTCTTTAGATGAGTTCATTTTAATGGCTAGAGTAAATTCTAGAATCTCTATGATTGCAAGAGTAAATTCTAGAATCTCTATGGAGTGAAACAATTGCATAGTTTGCTTGCATATGAAATCATGGTCTAGTGTGGTGACGTAAGGCAGTACATTTTTGTTGATTCTATGAAGTAAATCTTGTTTATTTTTGAACTAAATACTATGCCCACCTATTTTTCGACAATTTCAAATAACCAAATTGCATGCTTAGAACAATGAAAATACCATTTGTACATTTGAAAATCAAGAACAACCAAGATGGCTGCCACAACAACCTGCCTAATAAAACTAGCTACAGTCAAAATACAAAAGCTTTTCAATTTGTTGCGGGGTTTTTTACTGTTTTCTGCCAAATAATTCTGCCTAGAGTGAGGTGGGAAGGTTTTTGTGTTTTGACTAAATAGTCGATCACCGCAAGAACTTGAATTTTGCAGCAATTCTGGTTAACTAAATGTGTTTATAATGTTTATAAAAGAGAACGAATATGTCATAATATATATGAACCTTGCAAGACCTGCCTTGCAACAAAAACGCAAGTGACTATAGTGGGATAGGCTCTAAAGTGAAAATAAATGCATTTGTTTATATTAAAGGTATTTGTTGGTAAAAAATGTGAACATAGTAAAGTATTTTGTAACATCAAAGGGACACAAAGTTAGCCAGAAGGAATGTATCAATTTTCTGAAAACAATATAAAAATGTGATCAAGACGAGTGTGCGTTTCTTAAGTTTTTATATGTACCCTATTTTCTACTTCTGATGGATGAGAACGAGTGGACAAGATACAGGGGAGGGGTCGCTGTTTAAAAACTGACTGTACACGAAGTCAAATTTACAAATCACACACGTCATTAAATTCCCGGCTATCTCGCCCACATTTGGATCTTTCAAAACACATATATGACGATGCCCGAAACATCGCCTGATAGGACACCGCAGAAATTGGTGTTTAAAACGTTTCAACCCGAAAATCTAATCGCTGGTTCACAATTGTGCATTCCTGTACCGCTATCAAAGAGAAACCTTTTGAATATCTTAAAAAAAGTTCAACATATCTTTTGAATACGCATTCTGCAATCTTTTGACTGCTCATCGAACACATCTGACCGCTGTGAAATGGCCATTTTGAGGCTTAAAGTCACAAGGTTATTAATTCAGACGATTCGTTTTTACCGTGTGCAAGCTTCAAATATTTTGTGCAAGACATATTTTCTTGAATATTTATAAATCTTTTTTCTCACCAAGTTTGAAGTCTAAGTATTGAGAATTGCGGCTAAGTCTATACCAATTTCCGCGGTGTCGCCTGATAGTACTTGCAAAGAGATGCATAACTCCATAGAGACGTTTTGTCCATAATGCCCATCAACGGAAGCTAGTGTAAGGGAATTAAAAGTGATACCGCAATTCATTTAGCAGCTAAAAGTTTCTCACATATATTGACATCACCTCTTGAAAACAATACCGCATGCTACTAATTTGTTGAGCTTCGAGAGGGAAAATTATGCATGCATGACACTATTGCACCTCTAGATTAGATTGAAAACGATCACATCTTTTCCAAAAGAAAGGCTACATAAAAACGCGTTGGAGCAAACGTAAGTAACTCTTTATTCTATTAAATATACTAGCTTAGGTGAGTTTTAAGTACAAAATAGTCAAGGAAACGTGCATGCAGAAAATATCTTAACGTTTCGAATTTTGACTTCGATGTTCCGTATAGCTTCTTCGAAGTCTTTGATGGTTACTCTGCACCAACACAACAACTGCAGCTGTTCGCCTTTTTTAAAGTTAAATTGGACTTTTTCCCCAGTTTGAAGTCTCTCTAGCAAAATGGCTTATGAAGGCATTGTCCTCATTATGTCCATCGTCTCTGCGACCGCGTTTTTGGGCAACACTTTCGTCATATATGTTCTCATTCGCCGTCGAAGGACGTTTCTCACAAAACCTTACAGTATCTTCATTTTGAACTTGGCTATCGTCGACTGCCTCACCGCAATATTTCTAGTCTTCAGGTAAGCATTTTTCATAGGTAAATAGATACTAATCGTCGGTCAACTCCAATGGCAATACAATCTTCAATTTCAATTTCAACTCATACGAAATTCATTGTCACTTTTGACTTGATGAATACTTTCCTCGAAAGGTATTCGGATTCGGATTCTATTTCATTATCCAGACAATCCTACCAATGTCCACAATGGTGGCGCTCTACTCTCATGTGTACCACATCTTGAAGAAGCTCCCAAATCACACTTGTGAACGGGGAAACAGATTGAGAAGGGTGACCTTTGTTGCTCTGGCGGCCTGCACTGCCCTCATTGCGGGCTGGCTCCCCGCACGTACCATGTTCATGATGTCAAAGTACGATGTAATCTCAGCGCACAGCCCCATTACCCTCACATGCGCGACGTTCGCTTTTCTAAACAGCTGTGTCAACCCCTTTCTTTACGGCATATACAGCTCAAAGTTCAGACAAGAATACAAAATGGCTTTCGGAAGGTTGGCTTGTGGTTCGCTTCCATCGCGTCGGCGCATTTTAGTGGTAGCGAATGCGACCAACGAGATTTCATGAAGGATGTAGTTTCAATTCGTGGGATTATGGGGAGGACGCGAAAGATGCCTAAACTGATTTATGTAAAAGTTTGTAGTGTGCCTATATAGATTATAGTTACTTCTATTTGTGCATGTCCTTTGTGACAAAACTTCTAGTCTTGCGTTTGAGAAAAACACTTGTTTTTGTACCTGTCTGGCAGTAAACTTATCAAGAAGCAAAAGCGGACTTTAAAACCGTCCCATATGTGTCAGGATCTTTGTGTTAACGGGTACGAAGTTGTATTATTGTTGCCAACCACGTGTATATAAGACGTCAATTGATATGTTCATTAATTATATTGAGTGCTGAAGTAACCAAATCATTTTTCATCTTAATTAGTTTATAAGTAAAAAAACGAATTGTAATTATGTAAGATTGAGTAAGAAGACGAAGCCCAGCAGCAGGAAATTATTTCCAAAATGGCAAATGCATACGTTGGATTTTGTGAGAACGAGTCCGGCCCAATTACTCAGATATAAACAAAAAATACATTCTCATGTAGAAATGTTTTCTGCACCTCAGTCTACATAAGTCTTATTTCCTAAGTTTTCCAAGTTTCAATCAGTTGATTGTATGGGGAAAAATGGGCACATTTGGCTACATCTAACTTTCAATTCTTTTTGTTTAAATTTCTTGTTACAATTCACAAATAATATTTTTTTAAAGAGCGCCGCCCCCGATTGAGCGCCGACCTCGATTAAGCGTCGCATCTGAAGTTCTAAAAATCTAAAAAGCGCCGCGGCGCTCAAACGAGTAAATACGGCATGCAGAAGTGATTATCCTGTTGCATGAATGACGCTAAACTTCGAGTCACCTTTTTGATATTCGGAAATAAAAAAATTACCAAAGACAATTATCGTCACTACCGTACGTCATTGCCGCAACAATCTAGCACCCACGTCACCAAAACTTGCACGAAGTTAAGCGTAATTGCAACAGCATATACCGGCGGCGGCGTGGAAAGGTGCTAAGTTGATTTTAAATGGAACATAAGTATTTTTTAAGCATGCTACTAATTTGTTGAACTTCGAAAGGGAAAATTATGTATGCATGACATTATTGCACCTCTAGACTAGATTGAAAACGATCACATCTTTTCCAATAGAAAGGCTACATCAAAACACGTTGGAGCAAACGTAAGTATCTCTTTATTCTATTAGATATATTAGCTTAGGTAAGTTTTATGTACAAAATAGTCCAGGTAACGTACACTGAGAAAATATCTTAACGTTTTGAATTTTGACTTCGATGTTCCGTATATAGCTTGTTCGAAGTCTTTGATGGTTACTCTGCAGCAACACAACACCTGCAGCTGTTCGCCTTCTTTAAAGTTAAACTGATTGGACTTTTTTCCCCAGTTTGAAGTCTCTCTAGCAAAATGGCTTATGAAGGCATTGCCCTCATTATATCCATCATCTCTGCGACCGCGTTTTTGGGCAACACTTTCGTCATATATGTTCTCATTCGCCGTCGAAGGACGTTTCTCACAAAACCTTACAGTATCTTCATTTTGAACTTGGCTATCGTCGACTGCCTCACCGCGATATTTCTAGTCTTCAGGTAAGCATTTTTCACAGGTAAATAGACACTAATCGTCGGTCAATTCCAATGGCAATACAGTCTTTAATTTTAATTTCAACTGATGTGAAATTCATTGTCATTTTTGATTTGATGAATACCTTTCTTTTCCTCGAAAGGTATTCGGATTCTTTTTGTTTATTTTATGTTTTTGTGGTGCTTAAATTCTTCTTAAGGTGTCGACTCAAAACTTGTTCACCTCCCAAACCAAAACTTTTCTTTCAAACTTTCAGTCGCTTTGTGTACCTTCCTCCAATGCCCGTAACCAGCCAAGTTGCCTCGGAATTATATTGCAAAATAATCTGGCCTCCCTCGATGCCCTTCGTGCTCGGCTTCATTTCAGTCTACACGTGCCTTTTCCTATCTTTTGAACGATGGTTGGCAGTCGTGAAACCGCAAGTGTACCGTTCCTTGAATTGCCGCCACGCGATCCTCGCCGTTATCCTCGTTTGGCTCTGGGGAGCGGCATTGAGCGGCTCGACGGTGTCCCGAGTGAAGTTCGATGCGGAAACAAAGAAATGCAAATGGTATCGTCTTCCTATAGGTCATGCCGAAATGACTTGGATAGATTTCACTACCCAGACACTCCTACCAATGTCCACAATGGTGGCGCTCTACTCTCATATGTACTACACCTTGAAGAAGCTCCCAAATCACACTTGTGAACGTGAGAGCAGATTGAGAAGGGTGACCTTCGTTGCTCTGGCGGCCTGCACTGCCCTCATTGCGGGCTGGGTCCCCTCACGTATCACGTTCATGATGTCAAAGTACGATGTAATCTCAGCGCACAGCCCCATTACCCTCACATGTGCGACAATCGCTTTTCTAAACAGCTGTGTCAACCCCTTTCTTTACGGCATATACAGCTCAAAGTTCAGACAAGAATACAAAATGGCTTTCGGAAGGTTGGCATGTGGTTCGCTTCCATCGCGTCGGCGCATTTTAGTGGTAGCGAATGCGACCAACGAGATTTCATGAAGGATGTAGTTTCAATTTGTTTGATCATTGCACGATAAGCAAGCGATGGTATTACTAAACCAACCTCAAACTCAAGGTATGTATACGCACACGACAAGTTCTACATAGATCAGTGGCTAAGCTGAGCGAGCGCGCATGGGATTATGAGGAGGACACGACGGAGGCCTAAACTGATCTATGTAAAAGTTTGTAGTGTGCTGATATAGATTATAGTTACTTCAATTTGTGTCCTCTAAACTTTGAAGGATTGATAAAACTGCTAGTCTAGCGTTCGAGAAAAACACTTGTTTTTGTACCTGTCTGGCAGTAAACTTATCAAGAAGCAAAAACTTTAAACTTGAACGGACTTTAAAACCGTTCCATATATGTGTCAGGATCTTTGTGTTAATGAAGGGGTACGAAGCACGGGTGGATCCAGCACTAGTGCACTCCTGGTACGAAGTTGTATTATTGTTGCCAACAACGTATATATAAGACGGCAATTGATATGTTCATTAATTATATTGGGTGCTGAAGTGACCAAATCATTTTTCATCTTAATTAGTTTAATTTATAAGTAAAACAACGAATTGTAATTATGTAAGATTGAGTAAGAGGTGGTAGTTATTTCCAAAATGGCAAATGCAAACGTTGGATTTTGTGAGAACGAGTCCGGCCCAATTACTCAGATATGAACAAAATACATTCTCATGTAGAAATGTTTTCTGCACCTAGCTACATAAGTTTTATTTCCTTTGTTTTCCAAGTTTCAATCAGTATTGTACACGATGGAAAGAAGCATTAAAAGAACAGCATTGAACACCAAAGCGACATGGGTACTATTCCTGCTTCGAAAAACTAAAGCCTAATGGTACCGTAAGGTTTTTTAAAGATAACAAAGCGAAGACTCTCTGTTCGGAACTGTTTCTATTTACGAGAAATTGCAAAACACCAAGAAGGAAATCTCGCTAGATTCGGGTTCTTTAGAGTTCAACGAGAAGGGAGGTGCCACTCAAACTTTCAAATACCAAATATTAAATTCTAGCAGTGCCCGACGTATAACTAACTACCCTACTAAAAAATCAACAGCAATGGCATCAACCATCCTCGATTACCAGAAATTTATTGTCTAAATAACATATTTACAAAATACGCATTATATACAAACACAACAGCGCAATAAAACAATAAGCGATAGTGACGCACTATCAGAGTTAAGGTCTGTTTACACTCGCAATTTAAGTTGCGATTTTCTGTGCGACTTCCTTCTTTTGGTAGATGTGAACGAACGTAGTTACGAATGCTCATCAGTATAAAAGCTTTTATTTGAGCATAACTAATTCACTCGTTCACATCTATCAAAAGAAGAAACTCGCAGCAAAAATCGCCAGTGTAAACAGGCCCCATATAGTAAAGCATTATAAGTTTCTATCTGTTTAATCATTGAGTCTAATCATCACCTCATACCACCAAACTGAAAGTGAAACTGTGTTAACGGAATTACGATGAAAGAAAGCCTTTGTATTTTACAAGATATTTCCTGGAATAAATTTGCAAACAGATTTGTGAATTCGAGAAAACGCCAGAAGAAAAGACAGCCAATTACGGAATCTATCGCAAACTTTTGAACAATCTCTAGAATTTAGAACTCTTTAGACTTCACAGGTATAGAAAGCCTGCAAAGTATCGGTAAAATATCAGCTCTTTGTCAAGTGAAATCACCATAGGCGCACATAATTACGGACATTGCAAAGATAGATATTATCCAGGATATTGTGCGGAGCTTACAATGTCTGTTAATGTTGAAAATATTCAGTAAAACTTCCGGAGAATACTTTGTGACGCGATTTTTCTTTTAACGTTCATATCGACAATGACAATGTTTTACGATAATGAAAATAATGAAGTACTTATTTTGCGCATAATATCAACACGAAATAAAAATTGCTGATACGTAATTATCACAAAAGCCCACGCAATTGATAGAATTTAAGGCAAAAACAACGCGTTGTTTTCTGAAGATTTAAAGCTCGTAGCGTCACAGCATCTCGGATATTGTCAGAAATTTACTCGTCAGTTTCAAGACAAAAATAGCTATACACTCTCGTACAGGCAAAAATAATCGGACAGTACAGTTTCAATAACATATTCAGTTCAGTGGCATTGGTCACGTTTCGTTCTTGTTTTCAGAGAATTTATCTTCACGGGATTACAAATAAACCCGCCAAAGATTTCTAAAACCAACTATTAATTCGTGTAGACTTCGTGCAATTAGTGGATTGATAACAAGAAACAAGGTTTATCTTTCTTCTCCCTTTGTGTATATTTTAAGCTGGAGTTTTTTCTATGTCGTCATACAGCACTATAAATACCATGAATACTCTATTTCGCCCCCCACTAAATTGAAGTGTCGAAATCTAATAAGCGCCGCTGTGCTAAATCGAGTATTCATGGTACCGTATATAACTTCGAGAACGAAGTGAAATTAATCCGACTCAATGATTATTTTAACGGTTCTGGGCTGTTTTGAAACACTCAATAAGCTAGCGTTATGTGACAGGTGAAGGCTGTTACTAAGTAGCTATTTCCATCAATATATATACCATTGTTGCATACACAAGAAAGTTCTCTTGCAGATAAACATTGCAGAAAAAATCTTAAATTGTAAGGAACAGTTTGTATTGGTTAAATAACTTTGGGTGTCATGGTAAAACGCATATATAACTGGCATCCCACTCCCACAATGACAAGGAATACAGATGCAGACCACATTTATTATACAGATAGAATTAATAACCCTGTTCAATGCTAAGCAAGCCTTATATGCCTATGGACTGGAATTAACACACTATCTACAACCCAAAATTAAGCATCTGTAGCCCCTATCAGTTAGCAAAATCATAAGACATCACATTTGATTTCTATCAGTATTAGTACCATAGTTTTATGATATAAATGCATTTTACCATGACAATTGGAATGGTATACACTAGTTATGTATTTGCATAATCTATCTATCCCAAAATACTGGAACCCAATTAATTTTACTCATATACACTAAGATTATATATATTTTACACAAAATTAAATCACCGGTTTTTGCCTGTTATGAAATTGAATTCCTTTAATTTTTTTGTAGACTTATGAAAACTATTTGAGCTCTTTCTGCCAGACACTCCTATACGTTTAGGGGAAACCATGCCATACAAACATTCTGACATATCTTTGAAAGAATAATATGGTTTGCTTTTTGCAGGGTTTCTCAGTGACCCATTACATAAATTTTCTACAAACCACAGCTCTGAGTGTGTCACAGCTTGATAATTTTGATTTCCATTGTCTAAGCATTGTCATTGCGGAGGGTTTAGATCTTTTGGACTTTGTCCCGAACAATAACCGGATTATTTTTTCTGATTTCTGCTTGCCCCTCCGCCTTGTAGTCAAAAGAGCATCCATGTTTATCCGAATATCGATGTAAACTGCAAAATAATCCCCCACATCTGCATTGAAAGCCTGCAATGTAAATATGGAATAGGGATTTAGAGTCTGTTAGGTATTCAGACAATGATTTTGTCACCAGAAATTAAAAAATATAGGAGTATATTAATTAATGCACAAAATACTTAATGCTTCTTAAATTGTAGGGAAATTACAGGATAAAGAAGATATAAACTGAGATGGGCATTTGAACTTCTAGTCCAAATTTTCTCCCAACAACAGCAGAAACAACAGTCAAACATTCTGCTGGTGTTTAACTTATCAAAATTCATTAAAACTGTTGCCCCACGTATACTGTGAAATAAGGTTCTGATCCCATAGTGCAGGTGATGTGAATTGGTGATATCTCTACATAAATGTAATGTAATAAAACTGCCAAACATCTTACCTGTTAGGCCAACCTTTTTTCGGCAGGTTGTACATCTATTTTTCCTTTTAGTTTTAGATGGGGAATCCTGTTGATCTTCACCTTCAACGACTGCCGCCACCTCGGGGGCAGGTCCAGTTGATTCGGCAATAGGTTGCTCTCTCTCCACGCTAGCTGGTGATATTGTGGGTGGGGGGGTTGTTTCTTGGATACCCGATGTACTTGGTTCATCTGAAGTCGCTGAACCTAACATAATTTTGGATGAAAAATGTCAACACAAGTGTAAACCAAATTCACTTCAAAAAAACAAACAATTTAATGAATAAAGACCCACCTGTTATAGTAGCAGGACTTATGCATCCTGTGGGGGAAGTGGATTGCGTTCTTCTTAGAGCATCCTTAAAACATTTCGAACACATGCCATCGAAAGATGAATTACCATAAAAACCACATCCGGCACGGCATAGAGAAGGTTGTTGTGTATTCTGATTCTCCATCCTAAAATTTCCAATTGATTATTACAATGCACTTTAAACTTATATTTCCTCATTATGTAAGGAATCAATGAACCAATGTAAACAAAAATACTGGTTTGTGAAGAATGCCAATAGTTTCTGTGGTATACATGCTTTATTACCTTTACATAAATTTTTTTACTCATTTTCTTCCTTGTACACTGTTTCTAATTACTATTATATGTGTCCTTCATATTCATATATTTCTTATTAAGTCCCTGAAGTAAATATTTGCACTCAATTTTAGAAAGGCTTCTTACATTCCTTATGTAAAACCCTGTAACCTATGGGGACAATGCCTTCCCAATTGCTACGACAAACAGTCAAGCTTTGAGATGTTTTCCCAGCTGTAATATTAGAAAAGTTGCATACAAAGATTTTAGAAAGGTTCGTCAGAGTCAAAGCTTTCAGCCATAATTGAGTTGATAACCAGATACGTCCACAAGGCACATGGCTCTTTCAGGCTGCTAAAACTGAGGAATTCCACGAGTGTTTTCTTAATTTGTATCAAGAGCAATGCTAAACAGCTTAGGATGAAAATTAATCACATCCCCAAACACAGAAAGGATGCAACTCATGCTATCAAATGCCTAAACAACAAAATTCAATTATTTTGACTGTGAAAGAGATTTTGGGTTCATAATTTTGTTGTTGTAAGGAATTGTTTCTGAGAAAGTCACTGAAACTTCACCAACTCAAAAGCTTACTGAGTTTCTCTTTTATATTACGATTTAGATGCTTTACATTGTCTAACTTACTTGTACGTAGAAAAGATACAAAATTATGGTTGTAACTCCAGAATGCTTTGATGTTTTAAAGAGTATATACAACATCAAAGGATTTGCTTTCATTTTAGGTCTAGATATTTATAATTTGACCTGATAATACTTCAATTGTGAGCGAAATTTTGGTGATACTAATATTAAAACATAGCTTTAATGTCTTGTATGTTATGCCACAAAAATTCGTAATGTACAGAACTGGTTATATATAATTATTATACAATGACTACATAAGCCATAAAGCCAATACCACAATTGAGATTTAAAATCATTTTATTTTCAACTGAAAAGCATTCAAATTCTAGAGAATGTATAAGGGAATATAACCTACATGTTTTTAAAACGAAATATAGCTTTTATTGCTGACGAATGATTAAAAAGTATAACCATATTATCTATCTCGAATAACAAGAGTATTATCCAAGACTTATAAAAGCACTATTCCCCACAAGTTTAGGTCGCTTTTGAGCGAAGAGAGAAACCCGTTTTAATGCGATGGTACGTTTACAAAAATGGACAAAATCCTAGACGCCTTTGAATGAAGAAAAATGTAAAACAATAGGTTCCATATTTGCCACATTATGAAATATTACCTTTGCTCTCACTTACATCTCTTTTGTTGCCAACAAAAACAGCTAAGAAATTTTATAAACTTAAACAAGGTTTAGGATTCTTGCCTCTACCGATATTCTTTTATCGAGAGAACATTTAAAAAAGCAAAGACGAACAACAATTTATAAAGATTTCGTGACCGAATCTAAAACAAAGGACAAAGCCGACGCTGAAAAATTTTTATGTTTGCCCAAGATTTGCTCTCAAAAACCTAGTAAAACTCGTGCTATAAACACCGTTCTCGGACAGAAAACATCGAGAGAAACTTACTGATCGTTAAAACGTTCGTCGAAGTGTTATATGTAAGCTGAAAGGCAAGAAGACATTGATATATGCAGATTTTACATTTCGAGTCCTCGTAGTTGGACTACAACTTCCCTTTGAGTTGATATAATATTAGACGTGGACACAATCACGGATACATTATCTCAATATTCTCTTTCCCTTCAAGCTCACGGCGTTTTAAACCGTTCAGAAAACTTATACAATCGTTGAACCACTGTATAAGGTTCAGAAAAGCTAGAGAAATATTTCGAAAGTTGACCTTTATCGAAACGCTTTCCGAGGAAGGGCCGAATAATGAAAGGCAAACGATATGTGGTCACACACAAACGCACGCCGATTTCGACCACGAAGTCGCGTTAGAGCGCTTTATTTCCCTTGATCTTAACACATACAACCCAAAGTATACTCACAGAACAGTATTCCTTCGTTTAAGCGACGCAAAAGCTTCTCCTTGTACAAAAAGCAGGCCAGTATCTTGAGAAATATGACTTCGATATGTGAGTTCGAGAGCTCTTTGTTTGATCCCCAATGACTGGCACTAGTGAGTGACGTCATGAATTCTCTTTCGTCATTGGTCAATCAGGAATGAGTCATGTCGTTTGGTCGCTTGACAACACCCACAAGTGTTGTCTGGTAATAAACACCGTAAAACGTGCCAACAAAACTATCATTGCGGTTAAGTGAGGCTTAGCACAAATTAAAGACAAAACGCCCATGCCCGGAATACAAAAAGACCAGTTTTTATAGCAAAACGTGCCAAGAAAGTCAGGTGGTTTCAACCGCGTTTCCTCAGTGCAAACCGGTAAAACCACCTATGTGCTTTGTTTGACAACAGTTTAATAGTAAGGCCAAAACGACGCTGGAATGCCATTACTGTAAAATCGACTATGAACAGACCAAAAATAGCCGGAATGCGTTAATTCTAAAGTGGATGTGACGCTCACGGCTTTAGATCGCTGAGTGAATACAGCCAATTCAATAATGCTAGGTATGGTTTCCTTTTTTTTTTTGTCGGTATAGTACTAGCACTTTTTTTTCGTTCGTACGCCGACATTTCTTATAGCACGCTTGTAGTGACGAAAACCCAAGACTATTTTTAATATCTGATTGTTTGATCATGACTGGTTGATTTAGGGCTATCACAGGTTTGACCAATTATTGATAATTGAGTTATCGTATCATTGCATTGGTGGATTTCAGTGGATTTAGAGATACGAGATCTTCACTAAACCCCTATTTAGAGTCAGTATGAGATTTAGCAACTTGGTAACAACCTTTCATGGTGTTAATTTTTTTACCAACAAGACGTTCGTTCGTACAACCATCGTACAACTAAGTTGAACTAACACTTGTTCTAGGAGCTCACATTTGATTTGTAAAGCCATATTAAGTTATTAACTCTGTTGTTAAAACTACACCTAAATTATATAACCAAGATGCAGTGATGCGTATACTACGGCGATCCTAACAGTCAGCGAGAACACGGTGCGTCAGCCCGGCGAGATTAGATTTGCGTGCTCAGGAGTAAGGAGACGTCAGACGTGATGTACTGAACGCGTCTTGAATCATACAAAAAACACTCATGACGTCGTAATCTTAAAAAATGCGCCCAACACTCACGATAACGTAATCAAAGGTTAGCCCACAAAACACGCGTTAAATGCGGGGTCATATGCTCGGTCCATAGTATATTCTGGAATATATAAGACTGATTTTCATTGGCTGAACTTTACAATACATTTCTGTTTCAACAAATAGCATAGCTTCCTTCTTTTGAAAACATAGAAAAGCATTATCCAATTGGACGAAAGCTTCCGAGAGCTGCCCGAATATATTCTAGAAGATCACCTCCATGATTCTGCACTTTGCGAGTTTCCATGGAGTGGAAGTATGTATATTAAGATAAGTGGAAGGAAGTATATTAAGATAAGTGGAAGGAACTTCTTGCGAAAGGTTTCAATGCTTTTCTACGGGGAAATAATAGAATATTTAAGAATCTTTAAATAGCTAAAGTTTATCGAAATTTCTTCAGTAACCTGCACTTTGGTATTTCAGATAGCACTAACAACAGGTGTTGCCATTGTTACCATTTACCGTGTGTGCCAAGTCTATGCGAATGCAAAGACAAATATTTAATCTTTAATATTAATTCCTCGTAAAATGCGGTATACACCTGCCTTAAATAGACTCTCGATGTTTAGGGCCTTTAGGCCTTTGACGTTGTCAGGACAATTGGTATGTTCTCGACGTTTCGACCCGGCTCGACTCGACCTGAGTGCCTTCGCCGGTAAAGCCCGGTATGATAAAGATAATTTGTCTATTTTTGGAAACTGTTATACCACGTTTGATAAGAGATTATTCGAAGGCGCTGTCGTGCTTTTTTTTGGCTATTTTGAAACGGGATATCTTCTATTCATAGCTTTAATTACAACTCTTTTGATAGCGCATGTCAACCTCGGAATATTACAACAGAGAAGAACAAAAGATCCATCGTAAATTAAGATCGCAAATAAAATGCAACGCATGCACTTAGTTAGAAGTATTCTGTATTTGTACCGTATATAAAGTCTGTTCAACATTTCTAGAAATTAGAAAATTGCAAGTTCGATCAAAATATTTAAAAATTACAAACCATATGCATTATATTAATTAAAGTCCTGCTATTATGCTATACACTTTAGATTTTTTACATTTTTATATTCTGATGATATAATTCCGTGAAATCCACGGAGACTGAAAATCTACTGAACATGTTAAAAAGTGAACTGCTGTTTAGAGAACAAATTAATAAAACAAAACGCGTCAAAATTACTACCAAAACTATTAAACTAATCACCAAACGATTGGAATTCATTGGAATTAGCTCGTACTAAAAATTTCTAGAGTGGCAAATTGAATTTTGCTGAGTGGACATTTTTCAAATATAAACAACCCTTCGTGATTTTCCCGCCAAAATTTTATTCTGTTTGCTGACGCCATTACCAGAACGTTTTTGTCAATGCTTTGAAGTACTAAATAAAAAAACTCATTCTCAAAAGCCCAGGGTAATGCATTTTCTCGCACGTCGTAGTCGCTGTGAATTTGTGAACGGGTCATACAGCAGTCCAGTTTTGTACAGAATTCAAAATCGAAGTGTCAAATCTATCTTCGTCCTTGATGTGGTCTTTGGTTCCGTCCTCCCCGCTGCATTTCAATATCATAAGCGGGTGGTGGTTCCCCTTGATTGCTATAACCAGGATTGGCGCGAGGGCGACGACGAAGGGACATCGTCTTGGCTGGGGGTTTGTTAGGGTTACTGCTCGGGGTCGCCACGCTACACACACGGATAAAACCTATATGGAAACATACAGGTCTAAAATGTATATTGGAAAAATCACATGTATATTGGAGTGGAAAGGCATTAATGTGGCTCTCAAAAGCATCACCCAAAAGGCTAACTATGTTTACGAGTGGAACCGAGATACATTCAAATCCGTCAACAGTACTTACCAGCCATGAATATGATCAAACCAATACCAATCAATAAGGCCGCCCACCAATACCTTTGACCCAGTCTACTAAATTGTCAATCGCGCCACCTCCAAACAGCAGGTTTTGATCCTTTCCAGAGGTCCCCGAGTCGACACCCGGCATTTGTGTAAAATCGCAGTACCCCTGAAGTTTTACACGGTGCGCCCGCGAGCAACTCCATGTATTTTCCAGTTCGTTATTGCGGTGAGCATGCGCCATTTATATCTTTACAACAGAGTAAGCATTGGTCATCGGTTTTTGTGCATTGGCACTCTTTTTTACCGAATTTCAGGCAACGCGAGCCTTTGCACTCCTGTGAATTTTAAACAATTTAAATCATTCGTATAAGTGTCTATTTATTAGGAGGAGCTACGCCTCGGTTGAAAACATATATTTTAGTTTAAAACGACAACTTACTCCATCAATGCAAACCCCTTTTGCATCGTTGCAATCTGTTTCATTATCCGGCTTGTGAAGAGGATTGGGGCACACGGCACTCGTACCGCTTTTTTCGTGAATTAAGGAAACATATTGACTCTGACGTATGTAATCGATTATAACTTTTGTTATTCTTTATGAAATTAGTCGCTAATCTGTAATTTTAGTTATGAGTACTATATCTCTAAAAAAAATTTGAAACAGGAATAAATAATATACCAAGAAATAAAGTATATTCCGATAGATATTGTTTAACAATTAACTGAATTTCCCGCGTTTTCGGATCACCTGCATGGATATATTTAGACCATACCGAATTTCGTTTCTTAAAAACTAATCGGCATATTTGTTTACATTTTTCAGTTTACATTTTTCAAGCAAAGCCAATGAGAGTGCCTAAATTTAAATACTCAATCTAAAATGGTAAATGGATAAATTTTAAATACTTAATCTAAAATAGTAATGCTATACCTTTTTACGAGAAGCAGCCTTGCTGATACCGTAAATGTGTATTTTCGACCACAGTTTGTTGATCCATTCTCCGATTACCCGAATCTGGGATTACCCGAATCTAGGATTACCCGAATCTGGGATTACCCGAATTTAGGATTACCCGAATCGCATGAGGAAAAAACATTCGCCTGGAAGCTGGTTCACTTCAATAAAAGGATACTTGCAATAGGTATTGTTAACACAATCGCCTTCCTCGCATAGCAATGTGGTATTATGAAATTCACAAGTTGTTCCGTTACAACATAGGCCTTGACTTGGACTAAAACAGGACAAGTAATACGGACCAAACATTAACTCTAGCAATGGACTGGTGGTAAAAATTGCTTTGTTAGACTAATCTCAACGTATTGGTAATCCAACCTGCATTTTACACCCGTCTTCAGTCTGCAGCGCTCGTTAATGCCACTGTCAGCGTCATAACAGCATTTATCATCCACACAGTCTTCCTTGAAACCACAGTCGCATTCTTCGTCTCCTTCAATTACCTGATTACCACAAATTGCCGCACCCGACTCTGGAAAGAAGAGGCATATAATAAAAAAATACTTATCATTATCATGACCACCATCACCAGTGCAACTACCACCATCAACCTCATCAACATCGTCACATCACCATCACCATAATCAACATCATCACATCACCATCACCATCACCATCACATCGCCATCACCATCACCATCACCATCACAATCACCATCACCATCACCATCATCATCACCATCATCATCGCCATCACATTACCATCACATCACCATCACAATCACCATCACATCGCCATCATCATCGCCATCACCATCACCATCACATCGCCATCACCATCACATCACCATCACATCAATCAACATCACCATCACCATCACCATCACATCACCCTCATCACCCTTATCACCATGATCCTCACCATAATTCCTTACCTTCAAAGCAACCACTTTTCTTTTGAAGCACGTCCGAGATGTAGTCTCTGCTGCACTCAGAAAATTTCCTGTTGTTGCTCTCTGTCCCTGAAGTAGCTTTGGGAAACATGATGTAGTTTCCACCACTTCCACCACTGCAGCTACTGGGATCGTGCTTTAATACGAACAATATATGTAAAAAGCATATACATTTTTAAAGTCATAATAAATTTCTTCAAATGCTGTATTTTGGAAGCGGAAATTAAAAATGTACTGGGTTTAAATATATTGTAATGAAATGACCAGTCTAAAATGAATTTTTATATAAATGTTTATAACAGATTATTTCTTACCTTTGCTCCAAAATTATGACCCAGCTCATGAGCAAATGTGACTTCAGAAACGCGGGAAGGCACTTGCTTCTTGTAGTTAATGAATGTCACAACTCCTGTGTTTAAGGTCTTAATTTGACCGCCTTGAAATTTCTTTGATGTCTCACAAATTCCACCGGCTGCCCCTTCTTTTAGCAAAAAACATATTTATAAAGGTGTATAAGGAAAATTGATTTTCAACATTTAGAAAGTTGTAACACATTCAGTTTGAACAAAAATTGTAACACTTTCTGAGGAAGATTAGTTTAGTTTTTCAAGCGAAACTTATTTTCACTATATAGCTATAAGTTTGTTTGCAGACTACAGTTTGGTGTCTATTTTTCATGTACTGTAGTCTTTGTAACCACACCAAGGTTTGTTGAAGAAACTACCTTGATATTTCACGATAATTGACATATTTACAACAAGTCTACACAATAAATGTCTACAATAGCAAACTTTAAAACAGCTTACCAGGCTCAGCCACCCATGCTAAACCAAGAACACCGTCTTCAAAATCACGGTATGTAAACACGTGCGACAAACAGAATTGCTTATCCTTATGTGTTGTTTCAAGTGAAATAATATCCAGAAACTTTTCCACCCCGATGTACTCTTGACCGTAGGGATTATCCTTTTTATCTTTATCACTAGTGTCATTTGCTCTCATCTTTTTTATTGCAAACCCATATCCTATGTGAGAAGATAAACAAGATTTTTGATATTCATATTCAGGGGGAAGGTGTGATGGAATTAAGTGGTGCTGTATTGTAGGGTTTGGAGATCACAGGTTTGGCCATCCGCTCGCTAGCACAACGGGCGGGGTGTAAGCACGAATAAGAAGTGATTTTAAAAGGCATGTTTCTTTTGAAATTTCAAAACTGAAATGATACAATTGCTATAACATTCTCAGATAAGGGTTGACATCCCCATGTTGCAGGATATTCCCACAAAACAGAAGTCAGTAGTGGACGACAGGGAATAATCATCAATGATCTAGTGGACAAAAACCAAAAACACTTTGCCCACATGAAGATCTGCAAAATCCAGGGTAAGTCAGAAAAATTACTGCCACTCAAACTTTAATATTGGTAGAACTTTACGTAAAAATGTTCTTTAGAAATGAATAACAAATAGCACTGTTATTATGGTATTTTGAATTTTAAATTAGGCTGTATAATTTATTCTGACTTACCCTACATCCGACACTGGCAAAATCTACCTACATATAACTATGCAAAGTTCAATGAAGTTAAAAAGATATCATAAAAAACAGCACTGTATCTGCAAATTGTTAGCAACATACCTAGTTGTGAAGCACCATTAATTTTAAACTTAGTTTCCTTATAAATATCATGAACAGCCTGGACATGTTTTGTCATCAGTAAGAGTGCCCGTTCTTTGCTGCGACCAGCTCTTTTTTCTGTGAAAAGATGATCAGCCTATAGAAGAAACATCAAGTAACAAATAAAAATAATTTATCAATACAAAGCCAGATACAAAAGCAGAACTTCAAGACTGACTGGAAAATTCACATGATAGTGTTGGATTCATATATAGAAGGATGGGCCAGGGAGGATGAACAGCCAGGGTGCTCACTCTGGTCACAAAGGATCAAGGACAAGGAGAGGCGTAAACGCCCAGCCTCCCTGTTATTAGGTTTTATCATGGTACTATACCAAATTGTGTCATTGCAATGTAAACCTAAAAATAGCATGTGGTTTTACCCATTAAAGTGGAGTGAACTGGGCATATTGCCAACAAAATAATAATTATACTCATGTGATTTGCACATGAACAACAAGGCGCGACTCCATAATTTTTCTACATGGCGAGCTTTTGGTCCACTAACCCAGTCTTCAATAAGGGCTACTGAGCATAAAATTGTTCACCACCATCCCAAGAAAGCAAAAAACACACGAAAGAAGGCAAACAATGCCATGTGACAATTTATTCACTTACCCGCAAATGAATTTGGCAGATGAGCTTAGTCACCTGACCAGGAGTATTGCGTCTATACCGGTTACGACCATCTTGCTTCGGGCTTTCAAGAACATCTTCAGACAATTGCCGAGCCTCCTCCATCCATCTTTTTGTTTTTTCATTCAGATCCACATTCCCATATGGATATGGATATTCCAGATCATCAGCTTTGTAAATGACTGAATGGAATTCCTTTTGGGTGTCGAAGTGGTCTGAGCTTGGTTCAATGTGAAATTCATCTTCCAACTTGTCGGATAGTTTCACCTTGCCCTCAAATTTCCCATCATGAACAAATCCATGGACGAAAGAGTTTTCGTAGCCTAAAGAACATTAAAAAAAGAAGTTTATGTGTGCACTGCAATGTTAAGAAGCATGTTTCTATAACTGCATAGAAACAGGGAAATTTATTATAAAGAGAATTCATTGAATTAAAAATATTTCCTTAATATTAACCCAAAACTGGCATCATATAAGCCAATTGTCATTGTGAGTGTCATGGGGGAAAATGAGATGTTGATGACAAAGTAAATGTAATATGTTGTCTTCCTGAACACATTTAAACTAAATAAATAATGGCCTCATAATAATGACAGGTGTTGTGAGTTATGCACTTGCATTTAGAAAATGAACCATTGTGTTGTCTGAATGGCTGTGGATTTCAATTACTAGTCTTCTAATGGACATATTATGAATTTCATTTCAAAATGTGACACTGATAAAATAACTATTATTGTTATTTCACATATAACCCTTTTTCACACAAATTCCAAGTACATATGCATGATCTACAGTATGTGATCAGTCAATGCATTCAATAAACTAAACTGAGCCTTTATAGTGTGCAATCGACTGATGAAGGCCAAGGTTGACAGTATAAATACAAGTATATAAATACATATGTTATACCTATATATATATATATACAAACTTATAGGTAGTACAATATTATACAGTTACAGGTTTTAGCCCAGCAAAATTTGGTCAAGCAAGCAAACATTAACTGCATTTAGTAAAGGATAAGAATCAAAGATACAATACCTTCTGCATGTCCTTTATACACTTTGTTCGGATCAAATTCTGGATCAACATCCAAGTTTGGAGCAAATACTGTTGTATCCCTTTTTAATCTTAACTTAAATGACCTAAAATAACAGAGAATGTAAAATTAAACATTTACATTTGATGCATGCATGCACCTTTCTTAGTATTTTAAATAAAATAATATCTAATTAACACAGATATATATTCCATATAGATGTATTTGCTCCAAGATGTACGCCCTTACAGACCTTTGTCTATGGATATTCTTTAAGTGGAGTGATAAAACTGTTTTGTTTAATTAACATTGAAAACTAACTCAATTTGGATTCATCCATCTTCCCAAGTCTAAAATCTTTCTAACCAAGCTTAGGAAACCCGAATTGATTAGAGTCGTGGGTTGTTCACAAGATGCAATTGTGTGGGATCCAATTCAGTGAATTCATTACTGATGTATGGAATGTAGTCTGTTAGCAACAAAGCAGTACTGCATTAGTCTCAGTTGCTTTGTTGCTTATATACTTCACGAATCAAAACACTACAAGGCATCCATCACAAGTGAATTGGATTCAACAAAATTTGATCTTGTGAACAGATCTTTATAGAGTATGGTAAAGTCTTTTGGATAAGTTAGTTGAAATTGATACGGTTTTATTAAACTGCCTTATCTTAATTCGTGCTCTAGCTGTATATAAAGTTAATATTATTGAAGAAACGCTTTCAATGGAACGGTTGTTTAAAATTTCACGGTAGTATTTGTAAAACTAAAATATTGCTTTATATTAGACTGCTCGGCAAAACATAAAGTGAGGGACAATGCTCTTTGGCTACCAAGCAACCCGAATAGAAACAAAATAATTGCATAATCACCATTGGACACAAAGAAAATATTTATTATATGTTGACTCACGCAGGATGGGCAACGAACGGGAAACGTATTCAATTGAGTTGATTTCTAGTCAAAGACCTTCACGGGCTTGCACGTACATGTCTGATAAAATCAGTATCACAATTTAGATCTTATTTTTGAGCCATATCTAGACATATATTATAAAACCGGTGACTTAAATATTATATATACCTGGCATGTGATAGCGCCTCGCAATTTCATTAACACCTAAATTTCAATCGTTTTAGCTTTCAAACTCACCTTCCATGTGCCTTAAAGTCAAGATGAAGTGTGCTATCTTCATTTAGCGATCGACGAACTCTCTGATGGCGGTTTTCTAACAAATTTCTATCGTAGTTTAGCGGTTCAAAATGAGACACAAAGTCGTTCAAACGCTCGCCTATAATAAAGCCACAAAGTACAAAAACACGGTAAAGGAAATGTTGTTTTGAACTAAATTTATAAAGAATACAGAACAACGATCGAAACTTACCGGAAACTAAGGCGAAAGCCAGAACGAGAAGTTTTGAAACCAGCTCGAAAGCTGACATTCTTGCCGTATTAAACGCTGCTTCAGCGATCTTGTCAAGTGATCGTCGGAAAGATGCCGAATGTATTTATGCTATTTTGTAATAATCAGAGCCCTAGAGAGATTCTCACATCAAACTCGATCGATGTTAAAATAAATGCTATATGCTGAGATCCCGTGATGTATTATTGTATTTTGTCACTCGACTGTGAAATTTCGGCGAGAAAATACAGCAAAATTAAAAAATATTTTAAAGAATGTCAATACACGGAAACATACGAAAGTAAATCTACTGCATCCTCTCATTGGTCATCCATACTCAACGCACCAGCCAATCAACATAACTTATCTATCAGGTATATCTTAATTATGGAAATGTAATTGGAAATGTTAGCATTTCATGCACAGCGAAATTAATATTCTATACTTTTAGACTTGATTAAATTAAAATTAAGCACTCCCTTTTGGTTTTATTATGTGTTCAGCCAGACTAGAAAAGATTACTTCTTATATTTATAGACGAAGATTTAACTTAAGCCGAAATTATGCCTTATCAGCATTTTCTGTTCTTTCTAATCTTTTATCAATAATCGAGCTTCACAGTTTTTCTAAGCCCACGCATACTGGGTGCGATTCGCCAACGCGTCGCGAATTATCAGTTTTTAGGAGCAAATAAATTCAATTCTAGAAGTAAATTTTAAGCACATGCATCCTATACATGTGGAAATTAAATGTGCTATCCTTCAGTAATTGTCAAGAATATTATAAAAAGATAAAACAATTGATTTTGAGAACTGAAAAATTCACAAAAATCGCCTTGCGTTGCCGGACGCCGGTCAGGTGTTATCACATAACCATATTTAAAATATCCGGATCTTTTTATCACCGCCTTTCTCTCGGTGTTTTTAAACGCATTATCTTAAGGATTTCTCATTATATTAAGTATTTTTTTCTCCAACAGACTACTTTTCGCTATCGTCGTCTCTCGGATCCCTCGAGATACCAGATCCGATCCTTTCCGGCTTTTAACGATAGCAAAGAATGGCGTACGCCTTTTCATCCGTCATGTGATAAAGACCTAAGTTATATTAAACGTCCATAGTACAGAACAGCTGCAGCTGGTATCTGATTTCGATACGAGGCTATGGGATCATTTGCATGACAAGAAACAAGAATGGATAAAATCTTTCTTCCTCGTTGCAATACAAATAAACTTCATTGCCTCGTTTTTAATGCATTTACCGCTGACCTGACGTATTTCGAGTTTCGACACTTTGACTTCGTGCGAAATATTGCGAGCAATCGTCTTGGAAGAAGGGTTTGCCCAAGATTGCATGTAGCACACAGAAATATTCATGACCTACTTACTATAGTATAAAATAAACGGCATTTGAATAGATTACGTCCGACACCGAGATCGCCCGAGGTGACCCGAAAAAAAGGTTCCAGTTTATTTCTTAATTTAGCAATATAAATTTAAATTGATCTACTTTTCCATTTCTATTTTACAGCTAATTCAATAAAGGTTGACCGATCGGTACAGTGAGCCCCGGCTAAACTTTGAGCGTGAAAGAAATCAGATAGTACCTCATACCTTATGCTCTATTTAGGTCAGAAAATAACATTTGAAGCCGGTTGATTTTATAATGCGGGACGTCATCTCCTTTCAGTTTGTCGTGGGTCTTATAAAGCAGATTTCAGTTAACAAATCTGAGAGAACAAAATGCATCATCTCTCACGCGCTCAGAGTTTAAATAACTTGTTTGATGTTTTGGTTGGACAACATTTTGTTGAATCAGGGCCTCCACAGACTAGGAATTTAGTTGTGATCAACTATTCAGTTGTGATCGAAAACTAAAACGTATCGACAACTAAAAAACGTAGTCTGTCGCGCAAGTTGTCGGCAACTAAACAGTTTCCCTTTTCGAACTGCGAGACTATACGTAGTTGTCGACAACTAATAGTTGTCAACGGCCTCATTTTTTGGCGTTTTTCTAGTGTAAAAACTTTTATTTTAGTTGTTTAATCTCCGCGCTATTTCGGTTGCTAAATCAGTATTTTAACGCCAGTGCCGTGTGGAATCCTTTATCGGACTTGTTTACTGTTGTCGATAACTTAATCCCTAGTCTGTGGAGGCCCACACGCGAAGTACAATATCGTTCAACCGCCAATGTCAACTCTGTTTGGTTTACAGCCTAATAATTTTCTATACCCTTGCCTGACCGCCTTGTTCGTAGCATTATATACAAAAACATTTAAAAAACTGTTCATATAGCCGAGCACAAGCGAAATGAAGTCAGCCCATCGCGGCACATCGACGGAGAAAAACACTTGCAAGATCATGATTATCGCAAAAGGTGACCAGCACAATGCGAATACGACGATTAGCGTCATGATCGTTCGACTGAGCTTGCGATCGTTTCGAGATGAAGCGTTGGAGACCAGCTCTCCACTAGCATACGTCCCAGTTACCGTATGCATTTCGTTTGAATTCGAGTCGCTCGCAGTCCCAGCCGCCAGAACACGAATGCCACTCTGCTTTTTAAACCTATAAAATCTTTGCGTAACAATAGGACATGACACTGATTGGTCCAAACAGGCAAGCAGCGATCATAAACAACGTATAAGACTTGCTCATGCCCCATTCAGCAAAACAATAACTCTGCCCTTCATCGTAAGCGAATTTCGCCCAGCCAAAAAACGGCGGCAGGGAGAGTCCTATCGTAACTCCCCATACAATGCCAATGTATATCACGCACTTTCCATGCGTGTACTTCTCGTGGTAAGAGGTCCAATGACATATCGCGTGGTAACGATTCACGCTAATCATAGTCAATGCCATGCACGATGCCACGAACGTTAGTAGTGTAAAAAATCCAGAAGCCAGACATACGTTTTCCCCTAGGATCCAATCGTCCGCTATAACTGTCACTATGGTTACAGGCATGTTGACGACAGCAACCAGTAAATCAGCAAAGGCTAGATTCAGGATAAATACATTTCCTTTGGTTTGAAGCGGTGGGTTTTTTGCAATAAGCACAAAAAGCATAACATTTCCAGTCAATGCACCGGCGCATATCAGAATGAGAAAGATGGTTTCAACAACTATTACTCCCACTGTGGTCATTAGTGTCACTGATCGTCCCAGTTTATCCCCACGGTTCGCCGAAACGCGTGGATTTTTATCAAACCCTAGAAAAGAATAAGACGTTTTGAAGTTAACGCATTTTAATCGATTTACACGTTACAAAGGGTGGCATTGTACCGAAGAAGTCACAAAATTATAGCCAATATCCACTAAAAATCACCCGTTTCGCGACAAGACCATTCTTCCCTTTGGTCAAAACTCTTGCGTACGAACATGAATGACATCAAACCCGAGAAGTTGTCAGTTGTGTTCCCGAATTCATCAGGATTTCGAACAGGATTTCGAACGGCCCGATTTCAATAGATCTCTGCTAGTTTTAAAACCTTATAATTATACTAGCATAGTTTACGATGGGACAAGCCACAGTAATTCGTATTGTTTCCAACGTCTGCTTAATTAACAAGAAAAACACGACCCGGCGTTGGGAATTTGCCGGCCATGGAAAAAAGGTCAAATAAGGATGATGTTCAATAGAAAAGCAAGTGTATTTGTTGCCTAGGTTTGAAAAAGAAATCATCTCACTAGCTCACTTGCGTATATTACCTTGCATGCATGAGTATTTAAGTTTTATACCAAGGGCAAGGCGAATGCAAGAACTGTCTGTATTGTTTGCGGTTTTCAATAACGGATTACGCCATTAAAAGATTTGTTTTACTGAAAGTACTACAAAATAAGCATACAAACCTTCCTGGTAATGAAATACAATCTATTTTCTTTGATTTAACGATGCTTTGAAAGGCTCCATGTTATATAATATACTGCATTCTGCAATCGTCATATCAAATTCACACATTCATTTGCGTTACACGATATTTGTGGACAAGTATTATATGTGATATCTATATTTGCATGTCAGTACCTGTTGATATTAGGAATCTATTCTAATGCCGAATCGTTGTTCTGTATAATGGATGTTTGTTTTGGGCAAATAATTTTGAAATATACCAATGAATACAATTTTATCATCAATCAGTTCCTATAGCGACTGGAAGCATCGTCATATTAGAAAGCAAACGATAGGAAATGAGGGTTAAAATTTAAATGAAATTGAACGAAGTTTATTGGAAACCTGGGTGATATTGTAAAGATATTGGAATCATGCACCTAAACTTTCATTATATGCATGCATGATAAAGTTATTTTAACTAAATTGACCAAATGTATAGCCGGCTCAGTTTCCGTTCAAAATTTGATTTCAGCCTCGGGCTCTGGTGCATGCAGGAAAAAGGACACGAGAGTGAAAAATGACCCCTATATCAGGGTGGGGTGAACGTCCTTTAAGGGTTTTCATCTCAAGTTGGAAATCATAAACACATTTTAAGTCCAAGCTAGAAATTAACAGTTGAGAAAAATGGGGTGCGTGAACTATCGCGTCCTCTGGCTTTAGACTTTGTACATGAACGCTATTATTTGCCATGATGCGAAGCTGTGTTCAGACATGAGCGCCGAACACTGCATGGTGCCTGCCAATATTCAAACCATTTTCCTAAACATGTTCAACACATTTCCGTTGATGTGTAACTATTAAGTATTTATCATCGGCTTATATACTTAACCCGAATTACCTGTGGATAAAATACGACAAAAATTAAGCAGTATCGGTTATAGGTCTTTAGTTTGTGGCGAAGAGCACAAAATGTTTGACATCTTTAAACAGTCCTCTAGTTTAGTTCTCTTTATCAGTGAGTAATTAAAGATGCTTCGAAGATCGTTTTCGTCAAATAATTCGCCGTAATTCGCATGTTGTATAACACGTTGTTATTTGCTGTTACGCGTATATAATTTGGGATACCGAAACTGCATGAATTACTGCAAATTACGACGAATATAACGAATTTTGACGGCTTAGGATATATTAAAACAAGCCTTTATTAAATACAAACATGATGCCCAACTGAGTCACAGTTTCAGTATTGTGCCGAACTTAGCGCGTCAACAACACAGATTTATTAATCAGCTACCTCGATAATGGAGGACGGTTTTTGTGAAATCTTTCGCCTCGCGATAAACGAGTTAAAACACAGTTGTGACTGCACCGCTGACTATATCCTCACATCAACGATCAATTTAGCCTCGCTGACTGCTTATCACAACTTGTAAATCGTTTGAGATTAAGTGT